GCTAGAGGGTATAGTACCAGTCAAACATAAAATTTCTGTGTCTCTCATGTGTGTCTGCGTGGGTTAGGTACCTGGCATAGGCAAGATGTGTAAGTGCATGTAGGAAATTAAGGCAAGAAGTAGCAAGCAGATAAAAACAGAAAAATCCTAGAAAGTGGAGCAAAAGAATGGTACGATGAAGGAATCAAAGTGCTTAAAGAAGGCAAGAGAAGGCAGAACTTAAAAATAAGCTTTAAGAACAGCTGGATAGCTGTATGTGAAAGTGTGCATATTTGCATAGCTTAATGGTAGAGAGGTGTGGGCTTTACAGTAACCTTCTAGGGTGGATATAGCATTTTTTTCCTATTTTTGCCCCTTAAACTGTAATTGGGAGGCTACTAGTTTTTTTCCAAGGTCACATAGCTCTAAGTAGTTTGCTAATAACTAGCTCTGCTTCCCAATTTTGTCTCGATCTCTTTATAAGATCTGAATAATCAGAAATCTGAAAGTAGATCTACCATATGACCCAGCCATTCCACTCCTGGGAATTTACCCAAGGGAAATGAAATCAGGGAATGAAAGATTCATCTTCACCTCCATGTTTATAGTGGCTTAACTCACAATAGCTAAGATATGGAATGAACCCAGATGTCCATCAAGTGACAACTAGATAAAGAAAATGTGGTATATATACATGATGGAATACTAATTAACTGTAAAAAAAGAGTGAAATCCTGTCTTTGCAACACAGTGGATGTAATTGTGGAGACCTTTGTGTTTAGTGAAATAAGCCAGTCCCAAAAAGACAAATTTATGTTTTCACTGATTTTTGGTAACTAATATATAGAGTACCAAAAAATGTAATATATATGAGTGAATTTGATGTTTTGAGATTTGATTATTGTTTATACCCCTTGTCTGTACTCCTGAGGAACAGTGGTTTTTCTTACTACTTGTTGAATTCTTTATTAAGTGGAGGATTAAGCTTGTGATTATAAGGTAAATTGAAAGTCTGTCATTGTAGAAATTAAAAATAAGAGGAGGGAGAGTTGGAGTAAGGGAGGGAGGATAGTGTGGGAAGTAATGCCTGAAATGTGCTCCCTGTTTATATAAATACCATAAACAGATTTTTTAGAAAATGGTCTGAATAACTATGGTGTCTACCTCATTGGATGAAAAAGAATGCTCTATGAAACACTTGACATAGTATAGCACCAGGCTCTTGGTAAACACCAATAAATGCTGGATATTGCTATTATTTCTATTACGGAAGCTGCAATTTGAGTAACTTGACATTCTACAAATTTTGTTTCTACTATACTATATTGCATCTTTTTTAATGCAAAATAGCCTGATTCCCACATCTATTTCCATATATATGTATTTCCATGATGAATTTAACACATGTGAAATCTGTCTCAAACAAAATGGTTGCCAAGTATTGTAGGATCCTACATCTTGTGTTAAATCTTTTAGTTTTTGACCAGAAATCACATTTTCTCTTTTGTGCCTCAAATCTACTTTCCTATTTTTGTACCATTTGTTAAAGAGGGTAGGTAATATCTCATAAAGTAGCCATGGCATCTAGAGCTACATTATATTCCTTTTAACATTTCACATGTGTTTTATGCTTTGTTTTTTTATATTGTGACTTCTGGTGATATAACATCTTTTAATATTTGCATTTTTAAATATATCCTTAGCAGATATTCAGCAATTACATCTTATATAATAAACTTATTTTTCAATAGTCTTTATGTAGTTTCTTTTTTCGTTTTTTTTTTTTTCCTGGTCCAGAAAACTTGTGACTGCAGGGCTGTTTCTAACTGTTTGGCTAGAGTGTAGAGATTTGATTCTTCTGTCAGGCTCCAAGGAAGTCCTTGGGATTTCGAGTGTTGGCACTCTGGTTTCTTCATGTTTAATGAAATTAGCATAAGGTCTTAAACAACTTTGTTCTGTGTAAAAATAGCAAATAATCATTCTTCTTATCCAGTCTGATTTAGCTTGAACATTTATGAGTTGTTGTTTTTGTCTTTTTACCCAACAGAATCAGAGTTCTGAATCATATTCCCACACTAACTCTTAGTTATTACCCTCTCTGGTTCTAAACATTTTGTTCTGGAAAGGTCTAAGATGGTATAGATTTTTTACTCTTTCTCAATATTCTGATTTTTTTGGCCAGCGCCACGGCTCAATAAGCTAATCCTTCGCCTGTGGCGCCGGCACACCAGGTTCTAGTCCCGGTCGGGGCACCGGATTCTGTCCCAGTCGCTCCTCTTCCTGTCCAGCTCCCTGCTGTGGCCCGGGAAGGCAGTGGAGGATGGCCCAGGTCCTTGGGCCCTGCACCCACATGAGAGACCAGGAGGAAGCTCCTGGCTCCTGGCTTCAGATCAGCGCAGTATGCCGGCCGCAGCGGCCATTGCGGGGTGAACCAACGGAAAAAGAAGACCTTTCTCTCTGTCTCTCTCTCTTTCACTGTCCACTCTGCCTGTCAAAAAAAAAAAAAAATTCTGATTTTTTTTTTTTCTGCAATGTTGGTATGTCTTCTTGAGTCTCCTAATATATTCTTTGTTATGATGTCACCCTGTCCTTTTAAAAGAATAAGCTACATGTGATTTTTCCAGCTGTTTTTCTTAGGCTTGCTGAAATTTCTTCAGCCAAGGTTGGAAAAGAAGACAATTTACCAGCATTTTTTTTTCCATCCTTTTAAAATTTATGTGTGTCTTAGTGTGTGAGGATAAAGTATGGAGTTGACATTCAGATTTAGTTCCTATTATGGGGTCAGCCTTTTCCAACCATGTGACTTTGGGGTATATTATTTAGACTTTGTTGCTATCTTTTTTAAAAAAAAAATTTTAATCTTTGCTATCAGCTTCATCATCTATAAAGAAGAACAATGTTCATGTCATAAAATTGTTTCGATTTTTAATTAGAAGAATTTCTAGCACATAAAAAATGATCAGAAATGTTACTCATTCCTAAAGAATAGGTTTTAGTTAGTGAATAAAATCACTTATTTAGAAATAGTGAACAAATTCCATCCTACCTAAATATAGTAAGCCATATATTATCATTTGTAACCAATGTTCTTTGCAAAATTTATAAAGAATAGTGAAAATGGTGTTATTATTTTACTTGACTCTCATGTGTAGAAATATAAACTTTGCTATTTTGATATAGGCATTTGAGTTAGTTGCCAAATAGAGTTTGATTGTTAATTATTTATCTTACTCTAAGCATAAAGACCTGAAATGGATCTCTAGCAGCTGAGAATATCTCAGGCAGGTTTTTACACAGAGAAGATATAGTGCATATTCAGTGAGCATTTGTAAGAACTGCCTGCTCTATGACTATTCCTCCAGGCATTTGTATAATTTTTCAGTGCTTCAAGTAGCACTCAGTAGTGCTCCATTATTATCTGGGAGTTCCAATGGAAAGACGCAAGGCCCTAATTTTTTTTAAAGATTTATTGAGTGGTAGAGCCGGAGAGAGAGAAAGAAAGAGAGAGGGGTCTTGCATCTGCTGGTTCACTCCCCAAATGACTGCAACAGCCAAAGCTGCACTGATCCTAAGCCTGGAGCCAGGAGCTTCTTCTGGGCTCCCACATGGGTGCAGGGGCCCAAGGACTTGGGCCATCCTCTGCTGCTTTCCCAGGCCATAACAGAGAGCTGGATTGGAAGTGGAGCGGTCGGGATTTGAACTGGTGTCCATATGGATGCCATCACTGCAGGCCAGGACTTTAACCTGCTGAGCCACAGTGCTGGTACCAAGGCCCTAATGTTACATAATTTACATTTAGAATTTTCTTTCACTTAGGTGTAGTTAAATGAAATGTTCTAAGATGTGGTCTTGGAACCAGCTGAATCATTTTGTGGAATTGCTTAGGAATATGTGTTAGTTCTGTTTTGGGATAGAGTTTTTTTGATTGTCCACTTCTCTTGGATAAACTGTTCAACGCATGTCAGAAATAATGCACTGGAATTAATATAATACTTCTTGCCTTTTAAAAATACTAATTATTTTTCTTAGTGGAAAGCTGCTTCTATTGAAGGAAGTCATTTACCTTATTCTCACAGTTAATTTTTCAGTGTTTTCCTAATAATTGAAGGCAGCAGATTTGAGGATGGTATCCAGGCATGTATGTGTATGTCTACTATAGTTGATCTGGCAGTAATGTACACAGAAACAGGAATAGGAGCATAGTTATGCATATAGTTTTAATTAATCATATTATTAATTGCTGGGTGCATTACATTAATGCCTTCTATTTCCAGATAACCAAGAAAATTTCTTAGTATTTCCCCCTCTTACTTTGGTAATCTCAATTTCCTGAAGATATGTTTCTACTGAGGTTGGTCTAGAGATATCTGAATTTTCAGTTGCATTTAGCAGGAAAAATGGATAATGATGAATCAAAATTTCAGGCAGTACTGAATTATATTTTATAAATAATCATATGTAATTCTTTATTGTTTATTTCTGTTTGTTATGTCAAAATAATTATGTATTTTCTTGAGTCGAGGTACTTAAATTGTATCCAGAACAGTTTTATATACTAACACAAGATCTTTTGTGTCTTTTCTGTACAAGGAAAATATTTTAATTTAAACTACCACACATAACCTGGAGATACTTACCTTTCTGTTGGTACATCCATGTCCTAAAGCCCTCAGGAGAAAATGTTTTATAGTTTTTTTCATGTCTAGATTATAAGTAAAATCACTTGTCATACATGAATTGCAAAATGCAGACCTTCATTCTGAAGCTGCCTGTTTCTCATTTGGATCTGACATATTAAAAAGCATATAATTAATGGTTGACATTAGTAATTAACATTAACTTTATGGTGCTTAATATGCCATCATTCATCTATCAAATAACCAGAAATGCATTATGTCTTGGCATAAAGGTTTTAATTATATAAAATGGTCCTTCAGTTTTCATATGGTGGAAATGAAAACAACCCAGAAGATTTCTATAAGCATTTGTTGGGTGCTAGCTGTATTTTTATTTCTTTTTAGGAGTATATATCAGCAATTGTGCCAGGAACTTCAAAGAGAAAATGTGGACCTAGTTGTGCAATCTTCATTATTGGCTAAAGAGCGCCATCTTGCTGCAATTGCCAGTGCACTATGGAGACATTTCTTTTCATTTTTGAAGAGTCAGAGAATGACACAGATAGTGCCTCTCTCACAACTTGCAGATGCAGCTGCAGGTCAGTGGCAATTGTTAATGCGGTAATAACTCTCTTTTTGTAAACTTTTTGTCAGTTCTTCTCATATTTGCTTGGTAATAAACTCTTGATTATTATGATATAATAAGGACTTACAGCTAGAAAGATGAACCAAATTGTACATTAAAAATTATTAAAATTTTGATTATTTGCTAAAAATACAAGATAACTTTCAGTCTTAAAAAATTGAATGTATAAAAACTTTTCTTATGCACATATTGTGGAAAGATACTGGTTACATCTAGTTCAAGTAGCTTATTTTCAAATTTTTTGAATGCATATAAAAGATAAAGTTAATTTGTATAAAGCACAGAAGAATATAAAGTGAATACTACCAAGAAGCTGATACAAGAATGATATTGAATATATGAAATGTTATTGTTCTGAAATTCTATTTTATGTTATAATATTTGCTTAATTTGATTATTGGCCTAAGGACATTTTTGTAGGCTTTAGGGAACCATGAATCACATGAAATTATAGGCTGAATTTGAATATTTGTGCATCTATGCAGTTTTCTAGAAGAGGTCATTATCTTTCTCAAAGGAATATTTTGTCCAAAATAAATTAAGAGGTACTGGAATAAACAGACTGGTGAGGTGACTACATTTATTTAAATGAAATTTATTTAAATATAATACATTTAAAAATCTTAAGATCCAAACCATGTTTTATCTAGGCGTGCATAAGAAAAGCTGATCTAAAAACAACCACATAAGGAAGTGGAAAAATATAGATTTGAAAAGATCTAGAATCCTGGTAGCACTTCAATAATTAAGACTTCACAATGACAGATTGAAGAATTGTAACAGGGCATCAGTTTCCAACTACTGTAACATTTGTGAAAATAAATATTGATATCCAATCAGTTTAACTAAAGCAGTTATTAATAGACAATATAAGTTATCTTTCTTATATTCATCATCCCAACTGCCATTCAAAAAAATATTATATTAGTTTAGTTGATGCTGTCTTAGATGCTGACAAGTGGGATATAAACATAAGTATAAAGCAAAATGTGTGAGTTTGAGGTTTGATTTGAAATAAAGATTTAAGAGAGATTGATTTCCTCCTTTGGAACAATATGCACAATTTTTATATGTGAAATTCTTTTAGATAATTTTTTAACTCACTGAAGACCCACCTTTATAGGCAATGGGGATATATCAGTGGGGAAAAAAGGACAAAGAAACCTGTTCTTAGGGAGCTTATGGTCTAGTGGGGGGAGACCAATCAGTCATTCCATCACTAAAATTTGTAATATGTTATGTAGTGATAAATGTTGTGGACAAACATGAAAATACGTAAGAGGCTGGAATAGGAAGGGTTCTGGTCAAGTTGTAATTTTAGACAGAGTAATTTGGGAGCCCTGAGCAAGTAGCACTTGAGCACAAACCTGAAGGAGGTGAGAGGCCAGAAAGTTTTGAGAAGAGAAGTGATAGGATCCTTCTGGTTGGTAGGCTTTGGTGAAGTGGAGGAGTACTAAGAAGATGTCAGATTTCTCATCTGAAGGTAGAGAAGGTATTTTGAAGGGGGAGTTGACAGAACCTGTTAAATGGGCAAGTGATCACAATAGATACAGAGAGTCATTTACTGAGTGGAGGAAGATTGTGGCAGAAGCAGATTTTGTGAGGAAAGATTTTAATTTTGGCCATTATTTTATATGTCCGTTAAAATTCAAGTAGACATGTTAATTAGGCACTTGGATAATGAGTCTAAGATTCAGGGAAGAGGCGCAGGCTGCAGATTTAAATGTGAGAACTATCTGTGTATAGATAGCTTCAAAGCCATGAAAGTTGATTAGATCACCAGTATAACCAGTATAGGGCAAAATAATAGTTTAAGGTCTGGGTTCTAGGGTAGTCCTCTGTTCAGATTTGTAGAGTAAGGACAAACAAGAAAAGAGGCTGAAAAGGACACCAGGTACAGTAAGAAGAAACCATGAGAGAAGTGGTCAACAGCCCAAATAATAATGGGTCAAGTAAGATGAGGCCTGAGAACAGCTCATTGGATTTAATAAGAGGGAAGCCACTGGTGACATTGAAAAGCAGCTTTGTGTGCTGTAGAGGCAAAGGCCCAGTTGAAGATAATTCAAGGGGAAATGTGGAAAGAGGAATTGCAGACTGCAAATGTAGATACAACATTTTTCATACCACTATTTAAGAAAGGTAGAAACTGGGGCTATTAAGTAGAGTGGGAAGGATGGTCAAGGAGGAAAGATTTTTTTTTTAAGATTTATTTATTTATTTATTTGACAGGTAGAGTTACAGAGAGAGAGAGAGAGAGAGAAAGGTCTTACTTCCGTTGGTTCACTCCCCATGTGGCCGCAACAGCTGGAACTGCGCTGATGCAAAGCCAGGAGCCGGATATTTCCTCCTGGTCTCCTATGTGGGTGCAAGAGCCCAAGCATTTGGGCCATCCTCCACTGCCTTCCAGGGCCCAGCAGAGAGCTGGACTGGAAGAGGAGCAACCAGGACTAGAACCCGGCGCCCATATGGGATGCCGGCACCGCAGGCGGAGGATTAACCAAGTGAGCCACGGTGCCGGCCCCTGGTTTTTGTTTTAATGGGAGAAATTTCAGTATCTTTATAATGCTGATGGGAATATTTGAGAATAAAGAAAATATGATGATATAAGAAAACCACTTTTGTTTTAGTACCTAGAGAAGATGCAGTCCTATAGAGCACATGGGATTCAGTTCATGCGTAGTAGCAGAAGATAAGGCAGAGTAAATCCGCCCAGATGGAAGCAGATGGGTAAATGTGGAGTGAATAAGCAGTAGTTTCTTCCAGTGTTTTTCATTTCTCTAGGAAGTAGTAAGTAAGGCCCTCAGAGGAAAGTAAATAGGGAGGGGAGGTGCTTGCCACTGATGAAGAGGAACAAAAGGATATGCAGTAGTCCATGGGAGAGTGAAAGACTGAATGGACTTGGGAAATGTAGGAATGCCAGCCTGTTCTAAGGGCCTGCTTTTGAAGTTTGTAGTCAATAAAATTAAACTAAAGTCAGCCAGCATGGTTGTACATCAACCATTTACACTGGAACAGATATAGGTGCATATAGGGAAAAGGCCAAGAGTTAGAATTAAACATGTAATGTTTTTTCTAGTCAAGTACAAGGCATCAATAAATGAGCAGGGGCAAAGCGGATGGAGGGGGAATATAGGATATAGAGGTTAAATTGCTACTTGGGACACCCACATCCTGTACGGGAGTACCTGAGTTCAAGTCCCAACTCTGCTTCTGATTCAGCTTCCAGCTAACTCTGGGAGATAGCAGGTGATGGATAGCTCAAGTACCTAGGTCAAAGCACTCATACTGAGTTCCAGGCTCCTGGTTTCAACCTGGCAACACCAGCTACTGCAGGCATTTGGGGGATGAATAAGCAGCTGGAAGATCTGTGTGTGTGTCTGTATCTGTGTCTATGTCTCTCTACATTTGAAATAAATAAGAATTAAATTAGAAATTCTGAAAATAAAGTGAGCTAGGGAGTTGGTGGTCTACACAAATGAGTATAGTCACGGAAGTCAAGTTGACTAAAGAGGAAAGGAAAGCCATGAAGGCAGTGAAGGGCAGGGAAAAGTTTTAAGGTCATTGGGTTGTAGGTCCTGATGGGGGCAAAGAATTGTTGACATTGGGGGAGAGTTGAAAAGTCAGTTTGATGTCAAAAGGTTGTGAATTTTAAATCAAAACTGAAAAGGATTTGTAGATACTAGTAATGCTGAGGTATTACCTTGGGACTGAGTGGTTGAAGTACAATGGAGGATAGCTTCATTGGAGGAGAGGAATTCAGGAAATCAAGAGGTTAAGATACTCGAAGAAAACTCATGAAGGATTCTAACAGGGGTGCTATAGGAGAGAATGTTAATGAGCTGATCATGATAGAGTTTGATGTCATAATATTGATATATTGATACCTGTATTATGTTGGCAGTGATGTTTATAGGGAATGTGAGAGTGTGAACTAGGAAACTGCAGGTGAGTGCAACTGGTTAGTAGCTGGTACATCCTGATGATTTAAAGTTGAGAGTTTTAGGGAGGAAAATGGGAGAATAGTTTATAAGCAGCATTGTAGACCAAGAAGGAAATTCATCTGTCTGTAGGTCACATGGCATAAAAGGAACATAGGAACAAACAGCCACCGTTTGAGAGAGCTCCATAGACGGTAGTGATCAATAAACAATTTATTGACAGACATAAATTAAGATAGTGCAGATTTAGTCAATGGATTCCCAGGAAATCACAAAATATGTTAGTTTAATATAGTTAACTAAGGATTTCTAGTTCCTAGATCTCAGGGGTTCTGAAGAAAGTACAATGTCATTGCTTATAGGAGAATACGATTTAATAGAAGAGAATGTCCAGTGTCTAATGTAGGAATGAACTGTTCAGTATGGTAGATGGCAAGCAAAGTTTTTTAAAGAGTTTTTTTTATTATGATTTGTTTTCTTATTTGAAAGGCAGAGTTGCAGAGAGGCAGATGCAGCTAGTGAGAGAAGCCTTCCATCAACTGGCTCACTACCCAGATGGCCACAATGACTGGAGCTAGGCCAATCTGAGGCCAGGAATCAGTAGCTTCTTCCAGGTCTCCCATGTGGCTGCAGGGGCCCAAGCACTCAGGCCATCCTCCACTGCTTTCTCAGGCCATAACAGAGAGCTGGATTGGAAGCGCAGCAGCCAGGACTCGAACTACACCCATATGGGATGCCAGCACTTCAGGTGGCAGCCTCACCCACTATGCCACAGTGCCAACCCCACAAATTGTTTTAATTGGGGAAGAGTCAATGCTGGGAATATTTTTAAAAACATATCTTTTGGGACCAGACATTTAGACTAGTGGCTAAGATGCCAGTTGAGACCCTGGCATCCCATAATGCAGTACCTGGGTTCAGTGCCTGGCTCTTGCTCCTGACTCCAGCCTCATGCCAGTGCAGGCCCTGGGAGGCAGAGGCAGCAGTGATGGCTCAAATAATTGGGTTCCTGCTACCCAGATGGGAGGAAGTGAGCCAGCAGATGAGAGCTGTCTGTCTGTCTCTCTCTCTTCCTCTGGAGTAGGTAAATTAAAACATTATTTAAAGAAAGGTCTTTTGAGGGGCCAGCATTGTGACATAATAGGTTAAGCCTCCGCCTGCAGTGCCAACATCCCATATGGGTACCGGTTTGAGTCCTGGCTGCTCCACTTCCGGTGAGCTCCTTGCTAAAGGCCTGGGAAAGCAGTGGAAAATGGCCCAACTGCTTGGGTCCCTGCACCCACATGAGAGACCCAGAGGAAGCTCCTGGTTCTTGAATTCTGATGGGCTTAGCTACTGCCGTTGTGGCCATTTAGGGAGTGAACCAGCGGATGGAAGACCTCTCTCTCCCCCCTTCTCTCTCTGTAACTCTGCCTATCAAATTAATAAATAAACAAATCTTTTTTTTAATAGTCCTTTGAATGATCACATTAGCAGACTCCTCAGAATAAAAATTTGCAATTGAAGGTCATCATGATTTGTAATGATAATGGTGAGATAGAGTCTTTGAGATTAGCAATCTAAATGGTGCTACTTGAGAAATTTTTTGACAGCCTGAAGTTCATTCAGTTTTAACTTTTTGTTCGTTCTATACTTCTAAATGTGACATTTTAATATTTGATACTCTTTTATCACTTAATGTAATATTTGGAAAGAGAGTTTTAAAAATTTCTTCATCTTAAGTTTTTCTCATTTTAAATCTAGATTTCACTTTGCTAGCAGTGGATTTGCCAAGCACAGCTCCATCAGATCTTCAGCCTCAACCAGTTATATCAATAATTCAACTTTTTGGTTGGGATGATATCATCTGGCCTCAAGTTGTAGCAAGATATTTAAGTCATTTACTACAAAATAGGTATGTGCTTTTATTTCAGGCATACGCATTAATAATGCAAGTCCATCCTAGGAAGGTAAGAATTTTAACAAATGAAAAGTGATCTTGGGACTGGCGCTGTGGCATAGTGGGTAAAGATACCACCTGCAGTGCTGGCATCCCATATGGGCGCCAGTTTGAGTCTCGGCTGCTCCACTTCCAATCAAGCTCTCTGCTATGGCCTGGGAAAGCAGCAGAGGATAACCCAAGTGCTTGGGCCCCTGCATCCACGTGGGAGACCCGGGAGAAGCTCCAGGCTCCTGGCTTCGGATCAGCACAGCTCTGGCTGTTGTGGCCATTTGGGGAGTGAACCAACTGGTGGAAGACCTCTCTCTCTCTCATTGCCTCTGCTTCTCTGTAACTCTGCCTTTCAAATAAATTTTTAAAATATTTTAAAAAAAGAAGAAGAAAAGTGATCTATACTACATATACTCTCACTTTGGCAGTTTCTTGCTTTTAGACTTCTTAGCATTTTTACAATAGTGACAGTAGAAAAGCCAACTGTTTGTGGCCTGCTTTTCTTTAAAAGTATTTCTGGTTAAACCCTTTCAAAATTGTTTTAACTGTCTTATTATCATCTTGAAGTGACATTTTTATGCTCTCCATTGTGAAAGAAATTATACAGTTACTATTGCCAAGGCTGTGAGACACTGATGTATTATTGCAGTTTTATATTTAATGATGTTTCCTTATTACAACTAGTTTAAAGATTTTACTGTTAACTTGTGAGATCATAAACAAGGCACTTCACCTGAACATGGTTTCCTTTTCTGTAATTGTCTCTGGCTACATTACATAAAACACCTAAGGAAATTTAATAGAACAAATATATAGTAAATAAAGTTATTATAGAAATAGAATAGAGTGATCACAAAGATTTGACTAAGAACCTCAAGCTAAGAGAAAATAAAATATACAGGCATAAGTGGCAATGTAGGTTTTATCTAAGCTGCCAGTCAGTGAGAAATGAAGAGAAAGATAGTTGGTGGGATAATTCATTTCCCAAGGAGATTCATTAAGCAGACTCATTTGTATGTAATTTCTCATTGGGCTTTTGGTTGTAAAGTAAAGGAGTTCAACTTCAATTGGATTACTTTTAGAATTGCTTCTAATAAGAGCTACATAGATCATAGTTCTTAATAAACATTTTATTGACATACATAGATTAATATAGTACAAATTGAGTAGATGGATTCCCAGGAAATAGCAAAATATATTTGTTCAATATGGTTAACTAGGGAGTTCTAGTTCCTAGACTTTGTGAGTTCTGAAGAAAGTAAAGTGTCATTGATTATAGGGCATCGCTGTTCAATACAAGAGAATATACAGTGTTTAATAAGGAACATTTATGTTATTTATTAAATATTTTGTTGAAATATTCTTATTTTTAAAATAATTGATTTATTGTTAACAAAGAAACAAAATGAGAACACAGAGGTATCAGATGGCCTGTGCTCTTCTGCATTGTGAGCTCTTTCATGACAGTTTTGCTAAAATATTTCAAAACAGCATTTTTAGGATTGTGACTTTAATGTATTTTTTTAAGAATTTTTGACTTTATATAACACTTTAAGTCAAGGCCATCCCTAGCCTTTCTGCTCCCACTTATAAACAATTAGAAATCAGATTTAGCCAGGCCTTTTACTTTGTTCAGAATTTTATTTGTTTTTTAATTTCTGGGAGATATTGTTTTGGAGTTCTGTGTGAAGAAATCCTTGTTAATCACTGCCTGTGGGCTGGGGGACAAGGAGGGGCTGGAATGGAATTGGTCAGGGGACTCACATAGAAATATATTTTGCCTTTAACTTTTTCCTTACCTATATGCTTGTGAACTGTGTTTACTTAATCTAAGGGACACTGTTTTTTATTCTCCTTGACATTTCCTTAATTATTATCTCACCTAGTGGGTTATAAAGCCCTTTCATTTCCCATTTTAACTTTATTCTTCCTTGCCCTCTCCCTTGGCATAAACCTGCACCAAGGTATGCCAACAATGGAAAAAGGAAAGTTATAAATTAGAGCATTACACCTGAAACCAGAAATACTAATGTATTTTTATATTGTATCTATAATGTTCATTTTTAGTAATGTGTATCTACATTAGTGTTCTCATCGGAAAAATAAGCAAGGCCAAGAAAGGAAAGAAGTGTTAGGAAGTTACTCTTTACCTAATCTCTTACTCAGGAAGCATATTGCTGGTTTTATTTATTAATTTTTTAATATCCATCTACTTGTTTTCACAGCACATTGTGTGAAGCACTTTCTCAGTCAAGCCATGTTTCTTTTCAAGCCTTGACTATAAGATCGTGGATCCGTTGTATTTTACAAATGTATATAAAAAACCTTTCTGGGTCTGATGATTTGTTTATGGACATAAATTCTGAACAAGCATTTGGTAAGTAGTGCAGGCGTTTTGGGTGGGGTGTAGGTCAGGAGGAGGTGTTGGGGTTGAGGAGAATCGAAGGAAAAGCATTTTGCTATCTAGATTATTATTATATAAGTTAATAGAAAATATACAAAATATATGTGTAATTAGGTATGAATGTAAGCAGAAATTCATATCCTGTTGCAACCTGTTCTTTTTTCTTGATATTTCCTTGTTATTATATATGACAGATTTCCCAGGTAAAAAGATAAAAGAACTTGCTTCCTTGGAAGCCAAGAACAAAAAACATGTTCCTCAGGTGACAAGCTATTTCTTTTTCTACCCTGAAGAAACTGATCACAAAAAAAAGTGAAAATCTGAATAACTGAATATCACACTGTGAACACTCAATTTAAAAAATCCAATTATGAATAATTTGCTCCCATTTTATATTTGCCTTTCTTGTGTTTCACTGTTAGTCATTGAGAGATACTGGGCTTTTTAATAAATATCCCATATAGTTCTGTTGCCTGAGGAACAGACTTTTTCCTAAATTTCTTGAAGGTTGGCCTTAAAAAGTGCTCCCATTTTACTTTGATATCTTATTGCACTGGCTGGCTTTACATGGATAACTTTTGAGGCTATTATTTTCTTCAGTGAGAGAAACATAAAGTTATAAAATTTGTAGAAATTTGAAATTTAAGAGAAAACATATTAAATGGAGAATGTTACATTCCTGCACTCATACACACACACATACACACTCATACACACACAAACACACACACCCCACATGCATGAATACCCATGCAAAATGCATATTCTCAATTCTTTTTCTACCTCCAGAATAAACTAATCTTTTAATTCCATTTTCCACAGGTTTTTTAAATACCTTCATACAGTATAAATTTTATTATATTAGTTTATATACTATCCATGAATATTATATATTTTATTTTAACAGAAAAAGAGTACATGGAACAGTTGGCTGAACTGACAAGGTTACTATTTAAGCTCTCAGAAGTAAAGAGTGTTTTCTCAAAGGCTCAAGTTGAATATTTACCTACCCCAGAAGACCCTAAAAATGCACTTGTTCAATTCCTTGAGGTATTTTTCATTTATTTACTTAATCATTCAGATCAATTGCAGTTATTTTTCAGGAAAATTTCAAATGTTCTTAAAGCTTTTTTTATAAAGTGAATTCTTTGGATTGAAGTACATTATTGACTACTATCTACTATTATGAAATTCTAAAGGAAGAGAAATATGAATCCATACAGAGAAATTCACCCTCAGAAAGATTACATTTAATGAAAATTAGTAAGGCTAAAAGATAGTACATAGAAACTTACTCCAAGGCTTACCAAAATTATAGGAATATCTTATTGCTGAAATTGCTTGGTAACAAGTTTCTTCATGTACTTAGGAACTAAATTTTTTTGGATAGGGCCTATAATCATTCCAGCTTACTGCTTATCACCTAGTAGCAAACAGTGTCAGCCTAAGAACCAGCTATTTACATGATAGTGCGGTTGGGGCATTAAAAGCCAATCTGTGGGGCCTGTGCTGTGGCATAGTTCACTAAGCCTCTGCTTGCAGTGCCAGCATCCAATATGAGCACTAGTTCAAGTCCCGGCTCCTCCTCTTCGGATTCAGCTCTCTGCTATGGCCTGGGAAAGCAGTAGGAGATGGCCCAAGTGCTTGGGCCCCTGTACCCAGGTGGGAGACCTGGAGGAAGCTCCTGGCTCTTGGCTTCAGATTGGTTTAGCTCCAGCTGTTGCAGCCATTTGGGGAGTGAACCAGTGGATGGAAGACCTTTCTCTCTCTCTGTCTCTGTCTATAACTCTACCTCTCAAATAAATAAATAAAATCTTTTTTTAAAAAGACCAATCTATTTTGTCACCACAATAGTCACTTTGAAAATTCCATTTTTAATTAATTTTACGGGAATTCGTCTTATGTAAAAATGTTGTTTTACAAGCCTAAAGTCAGTAATGTATTTAGATTTGTGTCCTTTGTAAGCTGTTCACAGTAAAAGTTGGTTCATTTTTCCACAGATTGGTATTAACTGCAATGAAAATAGTTACAGCCAATAATCTCTTTTCATAAATGTTAATTCGACCATTTGTTTATATTATTTTATAGTATAATGGAATGATAGTGATATAATCCTAAAAAGTGTTTAGTAGTAGTTTGAGGTATCTTCAAAAAACTCATGGAAAATTAGTAGTATGAAAACTATGCATGGATTTTTTTGTACCAAAGTAAATATATCTTCTAATTATGTTTTCCACAAAATGCTTTGAAGTTTCCTCCTGTATATCTATATAGTGTATACTTTTGTGTTGAGCTGTTTATGTGGTTGTTATTGGATCTTTACCTGAATTAATTTAACACCTATGGGGGCTAGAAAACAGACTGAATCAGAAGTCAAGCTCTCTGTTGATAGTTTTCAAAGACTTGCCTAATGGAGTCTAGTCTGAATTAATTATTCTTTTGTCATAAAAAAATGATAGTTTTTGCTAAACTGTGTATATCATTGTGCTAGGACTTCTTAGGGATATCATAAACCAAAAAAGGTAGTCTTTCAATGAGAAAAGTTTTACTTGTCTCAGAAAAATATATAGAATGTTTAAAATAATATAAAAGGCAGTTTATGCTAAGTGCCAATGGTTGACATGGTTAGTTAGTAGGTAAAGAAATTCAGAGCAACTTGGTATAAGAATTTTAGATTTTATCCTGTGAATATTATATAGATTTTATAAGTTTTGTTAGTTTTTAAACATGTCTGATTTGAGCAAATGACTTGTTTTTAAAATTAGTAACAGCAGTGTAGATTAAAGGTGCTGGAAAATATTGGGGAGAAGCTAGTGAAATTTAGAAGGAGTTAGACTAAGTGGATGGAATTTCTGAATGTATAAGAAATAAGTACTGTGTTTAACTACAAGAGAAATGTTACTTTAAGAAAAAATAGAAACATCATGATTTAGGGTACAGGAAAAGAAGGCAAGGAGTTCAGTTTGGTTTGAAGTTGTGTGGAGAGTGCCTAAGATCATCCCAGATTCTGTGATTCACTAGGAGGACTTACAGGACTTGGTATATAGCTGTACTTAAGAGTTCTGACCAAATATAGAGAAAGACACAAAACACTATTAGTAAAGGGAAAGGGTATATGGTGTGAAGTCTGCAGAAACCAGGCTCACCATCCAAAAGTCTTATCCTAGTGAGGTTACAAAGGATATGCCGGTTAGTACTTCCAGAAAAGTGTTGTGATAAGACATGTGAAATACAGTCTACCGGAGAAATTCATTAACAGTTCAGTGCCTGTGATTTTAACTAGAGACTGGTCACATATACGCTCCCTTTGTCTTGCACTTAGAGAATTCCAGATTTCATCAGAGAAGCATGCATTGTGTACAAACCCTATTGTTTTCGGCCAGCGCCACGGCTCACTTGGCTAATCTTCCGCCTGCGGCACCGGCACTCCGGGTTCTAGTCCCGGTTGGGGTGCCGGATTCTGTCCCGGTTGTTCCTCTTCCAGTCCAGCTCTCTGCTGTGGCCCAGGAAGGCAGTGGAGGATGGCCCAAGTGCTTGGGCCCTGCACCCGCATGGGAGACCAGGAGGAAGCGCCTGGCTCCTGGCTTCGAATCAGCACAGTGAGCCGGCCATAGCAGCCATTTGGGGGGTGAACCAACAGAAGGAAGACCTTTCTCTGTGTCTCTCTCACTGTTTAACTCTGCCTGTCAAAAAAAAAAAAAAAAAAAAAACTATTGTTTTCATAGACAGTTTAAGTAGGCCCAGTGAGTCATTCTTGTCAGAGAATGTGGGAAGGCTCCCAAAATTGGTGGCCCCAAGCACCAGCCAGGAACCTTCCTTGCAAGCAGACCTTTTTAATGATGGCAGTCTCGGGTCTGCTATGTTCATTCTTTTCTCCAGAGAAATGACAATGTGAAATATATGCAGGTATAGCCATGTTATACACACACACACACACACACACACACGCACGTGTCTTAGTTTGGGGAAGTTAAACCTAAATGTAGAGAAAGGGTGACATGTATGGGCCACATGTGTTAAAAAATATGGTTCATAGACTCGGGGGTTAATGATACCTTGTCAGGAGGTTCTCCAACTTACCTCTCTCTGTAACTCTTTCAAATAAATAAAATAATTCTTTAAAAAAAATACTATGTTGGCATTCTGACAAAGCATACAAAAACTTTAGCATGCATCAACACTGGGGCCTAAGATCACACTAGTAATCCTTATAATTTATACGTCATGCACTGACAGAAAAACAAAAGCCAGTTTTCCTGATGAAAATATCTTTAATGAAACATAGAAATGATTATTTTATTAAATTTTGACCCTTCATATTCTATGAATGACAATGCAGAGTGTGCTTAAAGCACTTGTGCTGCATACCAAAGCAATGGAGTTGTCTAAATGAAAAGCACTTGTATAGTTATTTGAGTTGCAAGCTGAATTGACTGCTTTTATCTTGAAAGAACAACTGACAAAATATGGTTATTTAGATGGGTATTTGGCAGACATTTTCACAAAAATGAGTGAAGTAGAACTATCACTTCAAAGAAAAACAATTGACAGTATTTGTTGCTAATAATGTAATTCAGGCTTTCAAGAAAATTAAAATTTTGGAAAACTTGTTTTTGCCAATAAGAGTTTGAGAGCTTCCTTATTACTTAAAGTCTTTTCTGATGAGAATGGTTGTGTTATTAACAGATACCCTTTTTTCCTAACTGGATCTTTAAAAAAAAAGTGTGTAACTCAGTGAACCACAGTTTTCCAAATTACCAGCACAGGCTTTTTAAAAAAGCATGCAGGAGGGTAAAAGATTCATTCAAAATACAAGATAGACCTTTGACTTTTTATGTGGCAGAGAACAAAATATTTATTGACATGATTTCCAATTCCATAATTTGTCAGATTCTAAGATTTAGTTATAGCTAACTGTCAAGAAATAGCACTTGTCAAGTTTTGGTATAATAGCAAAGAGGAGGCCCCGCAGTTACCTGAAAAATCTGTAAAAATGCTTTTTCTTCTTCCAACCACATATATTTGTGAGGCTAAATTTTCTTCATCTGTAATATTAATTACATGCAGAAGCAAATATGAGAATCTAGGTGTGTTTTATTTCTCTCCATACTATTTGTTGAACTCTTTTACGTAGAGTTAACTATACAGTCATTAAGTATGCTGAAAATAGATCATTGTAAAAATTATGAGTGGGAATCCAAGAGGGAGGGGGAAGGAAGGGGTGGAGCATGGACGGGAGGGAGAGGAGGGGAGAAAATGCCACTGTGTTCCTAAATCTGTATATATGAAATATATGAAACTTAAATAAGATTTTAAAAAAAGAAATACCACCTGTTTTGGAAAATAATTTTCAGTAGCATGTTATATATGTTAACTTGTAATGTTCATTATTACTTTTTAATGAATTGGTAAATTTAAAAGATTTTTCTAATATGATAAATACCAACAGGTATAACCCAAATAATAAAAAGCTTATCAAGATTCTCAATTTTTAAGTTTGTTAAAGAGGATTGAGACAAATTTGGGAGCTTCTGGTCATGGAAAGGACGATAGGAAACACAGGACAGAGAGCTAAATGGAGAAGATTAATGAAGTATATCTGGAGGTGGTTCTCATGTGCCCATCTCAGAGTCACACACTTTAGTTCATTCAGTTCCTTATCTACAACATTTATGTCACCAAAGTTGATCTAAGCTCTCGTTTCAAAGCCTCTCCAGTAATTCCTCAGTGATCTTCACTTCACTTCTCCTTTATCCATTAATTTCCATCATTAAACTCTTGAACCATGGCATCACTTGGAACTTTTGAGAACTGTTTGACTGCAGAGCACCTGCCCCACCCCCCAGCTCATGGGTAACCCCATTATCCATCCTCATTTCCTTCCCAGCCCACCTTCAGTGAGTTAAGCCTTGTTTCAACTGTTCCTAGCCAACACCCTCACGTTATTTCTCTACCTCTTCTTCCTACTTCATTGTTCTTTTACTGCCCGCACTCATCTTTCTGTCCACTACCTTTTCATTTTGCTATCTCTGCCCTCCCTATCCCATCCATTTATCCTCAGAGAAAGTTTAGCTGGCATCTGATGACCATAAAAACAAGTCTATGGGAAAAAAATCAGTTCATATCATATAGCTGAACTTGATAGCAGTTTTACTTCTAAGAATTTGATAATGTTACTTGTTGGTCTTCCTTATAGGAATTTAAGGATTTTGAATTCTCAGTCATACACTGGAAATATGATGAGCCAACCTGTTTGGAGGTCTTGATGTGATTTGGTTACATGCTTCTTGAACATCAATTTCATGTTTCTTTTTTTTTTGTAAAGGCTGACCTTCTAGAAATAATATGGTGAATATATGTAGTATTTCTTTAATCTTTATTTTAATTGTGAAAGGTAAAATTTAATTCTTGTCACTTGCATTTTAATTGCTGTGAAACATCATTGCAAAGTTAAAGATGAAGGCTTAAATGTAAGAGGTGTATGTGTATGTGTCTGTAGAAAGCAAGATTATCTTTATTTTCCAAAGTGTGTATTGTATAAGACTTGAAAAGTTAAATAATGTTTTCCTTTATTTATAGGCTGTTGGTATAACTTATGGGAATCTCCAGACACTTTCTGATAAATCTGCCATGGTCACAAAGTCCTTAGAATACCTTGGTGAAGTATTAAAGTATATAAAGCCTTATTTGGGAAAAAAAGTTTCCAGTGCAGGGCTACAGCTGACTTATGGGATTATGGGTATGTATTCCTGATATTATTTTGCTAGTAACATTTTCTTAGGTTAAGCCTGTAGTACCATGGTGAATAGGACTAGACTGAATAAGTTACTACTTTGCATACACTCTTAAGAATAATTCTCTAAGTGCTGTGTTTGCTTAAAATAACACATGTTGACCTTCAAGTATATCTGTGTCTTGTGTACCTCTTTTCAGTACTCTTGTTGAGCTTATATTAATATTAAAATTAATTATGATCAATACAAACATGTATCAACAACACCAGTTGCTATCAGTAGTCTGTTGTGAATCACATTGTGAATACCTGAACAACCAAAATGAACCTCTTTTTTGATGCTCATCTATACTGGTTAGAATGAAAAACATCAGAAAACTAGAACAGCTTTCTATTTTCATGTTCTGCTCTTTATGAAGGAGGTCAGGAGAGGATTTTATATAGCACTGACAATATTTATGCTTCAATTCTTGTTTCTCACAGTAGTACTGTGTTTTCTCTTTTCAAAAAGAAATCTTTTTCTGTGCCTGTTCTATGACAATGGAGTTCATCGTTCTTAGGAAGTCAGTAATTTGAATATCTTTGTTCACTGAAACCATGTTGCTAACCAAAAATAGGAACTGAATAAAGGTAAATGAGAAGAAATTCTTTAGAAGTTTTTATTTAGAATTTAAATTTTTTTTATCTGTGACCGGAACCTTATATCTGTCTGTTCCCTTTAATCTTGTGAATGTGTGAATAAACCTGATTTGAGCTGTCTGAAACCTTTTATCTTTGTTGTGAAATACAAAGGAGAATGTGAAAATGTGTAAATATGGATGATTTGGAAGTGAAAGCAATAGTAGCAATTCCAGCATCTTAATTTTAAAGAAAGGTGTGAGAACTTATTATAAATTTAATATAGTAAAATATAGATTAACAAGTATTCTAAAATGTTTATAATTTATTAATTTCTGAAAAAGTATTCCGCTGCTTTTAGATTTAGCTTTTGTCAAGCTAAATGTTGTGATTTCAAGATATACCTTTATTTAATGAAATACTAAGAACTATAAAATTACATTTGGATTGGTGATATATAGACCTTACCTACGGCAAAATTCTACATACCAAGAAATGAGGATCTTTGTCCTACTGCCTTATTTGTTCTTTACTTAATGGCCACCAGATCTATATTCTTTCCTTTTATCTAGGTCTCAAAGCCTGGGAATAAAATATACTGCTACAGTGTTGCCCAGGCAATTTATTGTTTTCTTCATGACAGAGAGATAGAGAAAGGGAGAGACAGACAGAGAGATCTTCCATCTTCTGGTTCATTCTCCCAAATGTTCATGACAGATAAGACTAGGCCAGGGTGAAGCTGAGAGCCTGGAACTCAATCTGGGTTTCCTGTGTGAGTGACAAGGACCTACGTACTTCAGCCTCACGTGCTGCCTCCCAGGGTATGCATTTGTAGGAAGTTGGAGTGGAAGCAGAACTGGGTTTCAAATCTAGCTCTCCAATACGGGATGTGGGCATCTCAATCAGCATCTTATCTACTGCACCACTCACCCCAACCACTGAAACTGTGCTCTACCTGCCTAGCCAGTTCCCCCAGCCCTGTGTCTTCAGTTCTTCCCTTTTTGTCTTTGTAGTTGAAATTCTGTCCATGACCCTTCAGTACCCCGCCCAAATGTCACACCTTTCCCATATTCCCAAGTATGCTTAATCTCACTGATTGTATTTTGTCTTTCTCTTACACTGTTTCTTGTAGATTATAATTTGTTATAGTTATTTGTCTTTGACATACTACTCCTAAATTTTAAAGGAATTATTCTTTTGAATTTTTCATTCCTATCACATTGTATTTGAAGAAAAAATAATTTTACTGGGTATCTATCAGGCACTAAATTGGGGACCTGGGAATCTATAGGTTAAAGAGCTTATCCAATATAAGAAATAGCATACACTAAATATTATTTCCAGAATTTAATGTTTTATAAACTCAGTATATATTTTCTGGTGTTTCTAGATGAACAAAATTACTTTCTAACTTTTAATAAAATTTTAAATGTATATTGTAGTGATCCCATTCCCTTGTATTTAAAGTAGTGTATGTTATAAGTAAATACGCAAGAACTTTTATAGTGGTTTTCTTTGGATTGGAGGATTATCTTTGTATTAGTATTTTTATCTATTTGAGTTTCATCAGTAAGCAAATAATATGTTTATAGCCAGGAAAAAAGATGGAGTTTTTGTTAATTTTTTACAAAGTAACTCTATATATTTATTTAACCTTTTCCTGTAGTTTTTGACTTAAAAAAATTTCTTCTTAGGTCCAGAGTTGCGGCACAGTGGCTTAAGCTGCCACTTGCAATGCCAGTATCCCATATCAGAGTGCTGGTCCTGGCTGCTCTATTTCTGATTGGCTTCCTACTAATGCACCTGGGAAGTAAGGAAAGAATGGCCCAAGTGCTTGGGCCTCTGCCACCCATATAGAAAACCCAGATGGAGTTGCTAGATCCTGGCTTCAGTCTAGCTTAGTTCTGGCTCTTAATGCCATTTCGGGAGTCAGCTCTCTCTACCTCCTTGCTCGCTTTCTCTTCCTCTCCCTCTGTCTCTCTCCCCCTCCCTTCCCCTCTCTCTCTGAAGCTCTGCCTTTCAAATAAATAAATCTTTAAAACCATTCTTTCTCTTCATCTTTCTTTGTTTTTATTTGTGGTACCACACATACATATAAACATACAAATATTCTTTGCTGAAGCTTTAAAAGTAGGAGTCTCATACATCAATAAAACAAATGTATTACCTATGCCCTTTATGAACTCATAAGACTTAAGATCTTCAACGCAGGATTTTAAACATTGCAGAAAACGAAATATTTGCGTGAGGGTAGATGATGATTTAGGGTTAACAGATCCCTGTTCTTTGTAGGTAAAACTAGTGTGACACCTGAGTGTGACATGTATCCTTTCAAGAGTTGGTGGTGATGCCAGTTCTTCTTATAGGTGTGTTAATGTTAGCTAACATGTGATTTATTTGTATACTGCTATCACACTCAAGTTTTCCACATACTGAAAGATATGAGAAGCAAGCTAGCATTATTTAAAATATTGCTAAGTGAACATTGTATTTCTTTGTGATTGATTATTGTGCTTCCTTTTACAGCAGATTAATATTGCCATTTGTTGTTCTTAGAGGTGATTATTGTTTTTTTTCTAAGTATTTTTCGTTTCCATTCAGAGATCTAATGTAAATTTATTGCTTATTAGAAATGACTGAATTCTTTAATCATCATTTTTGCTTTCTGAGGTGGACTATAACAAAATTGTATGCAATAGATGTACCACTGTGCTATTTGGAAAGTACTAAATCATTTTCAAAATTCAGTTTTCAGTAAGACACTTTAAAAACATTAATATGTTCTAGTGGTAATTGTATATCTGCTCTTAATTACTTTATTAAGCAAAGAGTACTCGTTGGTTATTCTTTACTATCATCAAACCTGACAGTTGACAGACTCCTAGCATCAAGGAAACCATAATATATTACAAGTATAAAATAAGCCTGTTTCTCTTTTTTTCAGATCAAAATTATGTTTGTTTATATTAACTAATAGATAGATAAAAAGTTAAAGTTCAAGGAGATAAAGTGATTTCTCCAAAATATTGGTAATTCTATTTTTCCTATTTTAACAATTAAATTTAATTATACCTTTGCTTGTTGCAAAGTAGATTGAGGCAGCCTATAAAATTATATACAAGCCAAAATAAAAAGAATTTGGAGTATCAAGAAAACTAAATATTGGGCTGGTGTTGTGGCATAGCAGGTTAAGCCACTACCTGAGATGCCAGCATCCCATATGGGCACAGGTTTAAGACCTGGCTGCTCCACTTCTGATCCTGCTCCTTGCTAATGTGCCTGGGGAGCAGTGGAGGATGGCCCAAGTGCTTGGGCCCTTGCATCCACATGGGAAACCCAGAAGAGGCTGTGGGCTCCTGGCTTTGGCCTGGCACAGCCCTGGCCATTGCAACCATTTGGGGAGTGAACCAGCAGATGGAAGTCTCTCTCTCTCTCTCTCTCTCTCTCTCTCCTCTCTTTCTCTTTTTCTCTCTTTCTCTCTCTGTAACTCTGCCTTTCAAATAAATGAAAAATAAGTCTTAAAAAAAGGCACAATGAGGCCTCGGGAAAATTTGGTATGCACATAAAAAAAGGAAAATCTGATTAATTTCATCATTTATTATATAGTGGCATGTATAAATATATCACATTGTATGTGAGCATATACATATTAAGTGCCAATTACTAAGAAAGTTTATGTTTATCTTGGTGCAGAACTTTGAGCAAAATGTATTTTTTTAAGTAAAATACACGTCTTGATACAGTCTGTCTACTCCTACTGTTTCTACTTGGTCCTGTGCACTTTAAATATAAATTGTTATATAGGATGACAACAATCATTTCTCAGCCTTTTGGCTAAGATCAAGTGTAGGATGACAACAAAAAGTTCCAGTTAGAAGATAACCGTAACTATTGTTATTTCTCTTCTTTGTTAGGAATTCTTGTTAAATCGTGGGCACAGATCTTTGCCACCTCTAAAGCTCAAAAATTACTGTATCGGATCATAGATTGTTTATTGCTGCCACATGCAGTGTTACAGCAAGAGAAGGAGCTGCCTGCCCCTATGTTGACTGCGATTCAGAAGAGTCTTCCTTTGTATCTCCAGGTATACTTAAGTGTGACTGCTTGAAAGTTTAAAAAACAAAAACTGAAACTTCCCCTGAAGACATAGTTTATTAAATGCAGATTCACAAAGCATACCCCACAATCTCTAATGTACATGTGGCACATCCAGTGAATAAGCTTTAAATTTCTTTTGTGTTTGACTCAGAAAACAAATATGGAAAAAGGCAATTTCTCCTCCCTTAAAGGAACTCAAAGTTGAGAGAAGAAGCAGAATAGCACAAACATTTATGGGAATGTGCTCAGTGTTTTCCTTAGAGACCTCAGCCTTCTACCAGATAGATCAGGGGTGAGGAGATAGGATAGAGCAGAATGGATAAGTAATTAGAGGACTGTTCCCATCAGAGGGAGCAACATGAGCAAGGGCATGCGCTTTAAGAAAATACAACATACTGGGGAAAAGCAAATGGTCCACTTGTGGCTGGAGATACATGCAAGAGAAGCCATATACTGGAGGGCTTTCATATGCCATGCTAAGAAGTTTGAACTTAATCCTTTACACAGAAATGACTGATATATTTTGAGCAGAGAAGTAGGAGTCAGATAATAATTTTTACATTTCAGGAAGATGATTCTGGGGTCAACATCTAAGATTCTTGGTGTAAAGGTTAGATTAAAGTCTTAGAAGGCAGTGACTATTCATTGTAATAACCCATATATTATCTGAAGGTTCTGAACTAGAGCAATAGGAATAGAGCCCAGCAGATTGCAAAAACCTTTGTGGTCTCTCCTTTAAACCACTTACTGAGTGAGAGGGGCCGGTGCTGTGGCATAGCAGGTAAAGCCACCATCTGCAGTGCCAGCATCCTATATGGGTCACGTCCCAGGTGCTCCACTTCCAATCGAGCTCTCTGCTATGGTCTGGGAAAGGAGTGGAAGATGGTCCAAATCCTTAGGCCCCTGCACCCATGTGGGAGACCTGAAGAAGCTTCTGGCTTCTGGCTTCGGATCGACTCAGCTCGGGCTGTTGCGTCCATTTGGGGAGTGAATCAGTGAATGGAAGACCTTTCTGTCTCTCTGTCTCTGCTTCTGCCTCTCTAACTTTGCCTTTCAAATAAATAAATCTTAAAAACAAACAAACAAAAAAAAAGACTGAAAGATCTCTTATTCACTGGTTCATTCCCTAAGTGCCTACAACAGCCAGTGCTAGGCCAACTCGAAACCAGAAGCCAGGAACTCCATCCAGGTCTCCCAGGTGGGTAAGCAGGGACCCAGGTACTTGGGCCATCATCTGCTGCCTTTCCAGGCACATTAGCAAGCACACAGGTATAGGATTACAGCATCCCAAGTGGCAGCTTAACTTGCTATACAATGCCATCTCCCCAAGTGCTTCTGTAATGCTTTGTTTCGGAGAAGTGCATTAAAACAGGAAAAGATGAAGTACAAATGGGTACTTTTTGAAAATTCTGGAGAGAGCTGGATTCCTTGATGAAATTAATGACAATTCCAAGTCAGTTCTGTCAAATGAATAATCTATGAAATCTTCAATTTACCACTTGAAAGTTTGTAAGAATTCCTGTTAACTGGACTGTTTGACTTTAAGAGGACTACATGGAACAAACACTTCACACTTGCCTGCTGCTCACAACTCTCCCCTATCTACCTGCCCTCTGGGAGACTGCAGGTCAGACTGTACTGTGCCTGCCCCTTCTGTGTCTTCCCACTGGACATCTAAGCTTTGTTTAAAGTGCTATCATGAACACAATTAGGGAGTCAACCTAAAAACTTCTCAGCAATCCCAAGAATCTGTCTATGGAAGACATCACTTGTCACCTAATCAAAATCCATTTCTTCCTTCTTCCTCAGTTTCCCCTGCTGGATCTTATATTAAGAAGGACTTTTAGTTTCTCATAGTGTCCATTTCACTTCAACAGGTTTCCTTTTTGGTGCCCGGTTAGTTGTCACCAATCAGGGAGAACATACGATATTTCTCCATTTTGGACTGGCTTAATTCACTCAGCATGATGTTTTCCAGATTCCTCCATTTTGTTGCAAATGACCAGATTTCATTGTTTTTTTACTGCTGTATAGTATTCTATAGAGTACATGTCCCATAATTTCTTTATCCACTATGAGAAACAGTGACTTGATCAGCCCTTGTCCCGACTGTTGATGTACAGTTTAATACTTTATCCCTTTTAGTATTTTTTTTTGTTCTACTTAATACTATTGGTTGAACTCTGTAATTAACACACAATTATTCTTAGGTGTTTAAATTTAACTGAAAAGTGATCTCTGTTAAATATAAGAGTGGGAATCAGAGAGGGAGGAGATGTACAATTTGGGACATGCTCAAGCTGACTTGCCCCAAATGGTGGAGTTAGAAATGTGCCAGGGGATTCCAATACAATCCCATCAAGGTGGCATGTACCAATGCTATCTCACTAGTCCAATGGATCAATTTCAGTTCATAATTAATCATACTGATAGGTCTAAGAGTCAAAGGGATCACATAAACAAGACTAGTGTCTGCGAATACTAACTGATAGAATAAAAAAGGGAGAGAACGATCCAACACGGGAAGTGGGATACACAGCAGACTCATAAAATGGCAGATGTCCTAAACAGCACTCTGGCCTCAGAATCAGCCCTTAAGGCATTTGGATCTGGCTGAAGAGCCTATGAGAGTATTTTAGGCATGGAAAGCTAAGATACTCTGGAAAAAAAAAAAAAAGAGGACCTAAATGAAAGATCTCTGCGAGTGAGATCCCAGTAGAAAGAACGGGCCATCAAAGAAGGAGGTACCTTTCTCTGAAGGGAGGAGAGAACTTCCACTTTGACTAGGACCCTGTCAGAATAAGATCGAAGTCGGCGAACTCAAAAGGCTTCCATAGCCTTGGCAATTCATGACTAGAGCCTAGGGAGATTACTGACACCATAAACAAGAGTGTCAAATTGTTAAGTCAACAACAGGAGTCACAGTGTACTTACTCCTCATGTGGGATCTCTGTCCTTAATGTGTTGTCCAATGCGAATTAATGCTATAACTAGTACTCAAACAGTATTTTACATTTTATGTTCTGTGTGGGTGCAAACTGATGAAATTTTTACTTAATATATACTGAATTGATCTTCTGTATATAAAGATAATTGAAAATGAATCTTGATGTGGATGGAATGGGAGAGGGAGCAGGAGATGGGAGGGGTGCGGGTGGGAGGGAAGTTATGGGGGGGGAGAAAGCCATTGTAACCCATAAACTGTACTTGTGAAATTTATATTTACTTAATAAAAGTTTAAAAAAAGGACTTAATATTTCAATATTAAACAGTAATGAATAAGGAAGTAAACCTCCAGCCCTGTCTTTTCCTTGAGTGACAAATCAATATCTCAAAACACCTACCATAGTTACTTAAACAGTCTGTAACACCTTAAATTAATGTTGCTCAAAAACTAATTCTTACCTTCATCTCCAGAATTTCCCATCTCAGCAGCACTGCTGTCTACATAGACAGTTACTCTAGAATCTGAGATGCATTTCATTTATTTCTCAGAGTATTGGTCTAATGATTCTTAAGAATTATACACTGTAATCCATATAAAAGTATTTTGTTAACTGCAATGCAAATGGAAGAAACTAAATAACAGATGTGCAACAAGACATTATGAGTTCTGTATAACCTTGATTAAGCTCTGTATTTCTCTATACCTTACTTTTCCTAGCTGTGGATATGCAGAAATACTAACTTCAGTGGAGTTTTCTGAAAAATCCAAATAAAATAATGTATCTAGAACATTTGACACAATGCCTGACAAAACTGTAAATGGATTATTGTTATCTTGGGTTTTAATCAACTACATTCTTATTCTTTTGTTAGTTATTGTTTTTTAAAGTTACATTTCCTAACATGAAAGATTTTTAGCTTGAATTTTATAGTCCTAGACAAAATGCCAGTTCTTCACATAAAAAAGACTGACCTAAAAATGTATTTTATAAATTTTTAATTGCACATACACACACACACAGTTGATCATCAAGTTTTAGTGATCAAGATTTCTGAGGATGTGAAGAAGAAAGAATTTCCCTATCATCCTGCATTTCCCTCCTGCTTCCTTTGTTAGTGTCTCAAAGATGCTTGGTTAGATATCATATGTCTGTATTATCGAAGCTTAAATCCCAGAAGTTTATATGTGCATTATCTCTTGATGATGCGAGATGTCCTTTTGGATTGCAATAAGTTAACAGATTCTGACATGAATATTAATGCTAGGGCTTATAATAGTAAGTTCTTATACATCTTTTTTAAAACTTTACCTTAGTATTTCTGATTTCTTGTTTTTTGTTTTTTTTTTTTTTCTTTTAGGGCATGTGTATCGTGTGTTGTCAGTCTCAAAATCCAAATGCCTATTTGAATCAATTGCTGGGGACTGTTATTGAGCAGTATATTGGGCGATTTCTTCCAGCTTCACCATATGTTTCAGGTCTTGGACAACATCCTGTTTTGTTGGCACTGAGAAACTCGACCAGTGTTCCACCAATAGCATCACTAAAGAAATGCATTGTACAAGTCATCAGGTAATAAATGTTAAAAATAGATGATATGTACAAATTAATAATTTCTACTTAGGAGTAATAAGAGAATGCTTCAAAAATATTGGCAACTCTTCGAATACTGGTAGTTTGGGAACATTGTTCCTGAAAAACCTATCTGAGAATTTATTAAAATGACATTTGCTCATGGCAAAAGACAATGCTCTTTAAATTGCTTCTGTTTTCTCTATGTAGCTATTATTTTCTGTATATGTCCTAAAGATATATTTTTGGGGGGTTTTCATCAGATAAACAATAATTATATTATGTTCCATTCAAAATCCAGTAATTATATATGTGAAAAGATGAATGCTAATATGAAAAGGGAAGCAATATTAAGTTCCCTTTTGTCAGTCTGTTATGTGTCTTTGCAACCTTTTTAATATTAGGGAAATGAATCAATGAAACTCCTTAGCTTTTCCACTAGACTTCTATTCCTTTAACTGTAGTATTAGAAGGTTCAATAATAAAAATGATGTTTGTCTTTATAAAATATTTGAGTTTACTTTTTCAACTTTCTAAACTTGAAGATGCTACAGCAATATATATTACTCTTAGCTAGTGTTAGTTTTCTGTGTTTTTTAATGACCTGTTAATATCTATTACCTCTCAGTACAGAATTCTATGTGTAAAATCTCTCTCCTCTGACCTTTTTGTGCTACTAGTATCTTACTTGTGTTTACAGTCTTTATCCTCTTGTTCCCTCTTCTTTATCATCTTTGGCAAATGATTGTTTCCCTTTCTTTCTTTCACATTTCTCCTCCTTTGTCACAATACACCTGGGCTATTACCAGAATCTTCTAATCAGTCTAGCTTTCATCAATGCCGTGAAATTACTTTTCGTGCAGTACCACTCTATCATGACACTTCCTTGCCCCAACCTTCATTGGCTATTTCTTGCATGTAGAACAAATTCTGCATTCCTTAACTCTCCAGGATTTGTCACTTAACTTTTCCAAATGTGTTATGAATGGTGCCATATACAAACCCTAATGAGATTGATTTAGTTACTGCCCCTTGAAAAATACATTATACTTCCCTACATCACAGCTTTGTTCATACCATTTTCTTATTTAAAATGTCATCCCTCTGAGCTAAATCCCACCTATCCTTTATAAAAGCCACCCCTATTATGTCAGTGTACTATGATGTTTCCTTTTCTGAAATCCTATGCCCTGCACAACTCAATTTGAAGAATTATAATAGTTTTGCGTTACATGCATCTGAATTTTCAACATGATTATAGTAATCTACCAATGTTTGAGATGTTGCATAAGTAATTTTAGTGTAAGCTAAATGACATGTGCTCAAGTGAAGTTAAGCTGCATTGTTTAGGATCCTGGCTGCATTTGTTGGCTTTCCTCTTCACCTGGTATGTAGTGAAAACATTTTTTCTCATGATTTCTGGTTGAAGACCCCAAAATATAACAGTTTGTGTTTTGTTAAGGATACAGAGAGTACCTCCTATCACTTTTTCCACGCTCTGCTTTTGTACTTCCCATCCCCCAGGCCCTTCTGAGTTAGGGCTTCTTCCTTTGAATTCATGAAAATTCTGTACTTTACTTTGTCAGAGCATCTGCTACTCTGTGTTGTAACTGTTTTGATTTCTTTTTGTGTATAACTTTACTTTTCTTTCAGAAACCATATCTTACTTAACTTTGTATAACTGTTCTTATACTTACATCTGGCACACCATAAGCGGCCAGTAAATGTTCTTAGTAATAGGAATCCAACAATAAACAAAGCAAACAGAAATCTCTGCCCTCAAAGAGTGAATGAGACTTCTAATATGTAATATTGGCTAAAGCTACTATAGGGAATAGAAATGATTACTATCACACAATTCCTGACCTTAAGGAGTTTATAATCCTTAGTGATTTCTATGCCTAATTATCATGTTGCTATTACTTTGTATATAGACGTCTAATTTATTTAACTGTATATAACAAATCTGTATGTTATCTACACTTTTAGAAACTGAGCAACTCCTACTTCCATTTACTCACTTAGTAAATGTATACTGAACCCCTCTTGAACCAGGTCCTGTTCTAAGAGGTGGAGATACAAAGATGAGTCAGATAAGTTGTTACTACCTTTAAAATCTTTCTTGAATTTGAGAGCTAGAATTTGTCTTATACTGACAGAATATATTAAATCCTGTATTAATTCTCTGATTCTTTTACTTACTGGAGAAAAGAAAGAGGTAAAGCTGGAATGGGAAGTTAATTCTTAGGACAGCCCTCTTCTTCATTTGGGAAAATAAGACTTCTCCCTAATCTTTCAGTAAATAAATCTGAGGAGAGATTTCTTTATGCAAATTTGACATTAGAGAAAAGTGTGACAGCATTGAAGAGCTGATAGATGAGATCAGATTTATATTAGAAAGGAGAAAACATTAACAATTAAATTTTCATTGTTTGTTTAAAAACCAAGTTGCTCTAAATTTAGTTTCTGTCTGGATTATGTTTGGGGCCTTACAGCATGCCAAAAAAAAAATGTTTCTGAAATCTTATGTTTGAAGATAGCTTGATAAAATGTACATACTTTTAAAAAATTGCACTTTAGTGGAGGAGAAGGATCATGAATATTTTGCCAATATCCTTCAAGTATATAACATTTGATTCTGCTCTGTGAAAGACTTAGACAGAAGTAAAAACTGAATTTCACTTCTTTTCAGGAAATCTTATCTTGAGTTTAAAGGGCCCTCACCTCCTCCTCGCTTAGCATCCGTTCTGGCCTTCATCCTCCAACTCTTCAAAGAAACTAACATAGATATTTGTGAAGTTGAACTACTCCTCCCTGGCATCTTAAAATGTTTGGTGTTGGTCAATGAACCCCAAGGTTAGTTTGTTTTTAAGCTTTCATTTCTGTCATCACCTTATGTTTGCAAGTCAAGAAACTGTTTCCTATCAGCTGAATTGATAATAACAAAAGATATGTGATCATTTTAAATTTATTGGCATAGATTATAGTTAAAGAATGAACTGTGGTTTAAATGGTTAAAAATGGACATGTTTGAGTATATTTTAATGTTTTTTTTTTTGTTTCTCCTGCAAGGAATAGTATTAAAAAAAAGATCTTTTAAAAACAGATTATTTAAAAGTCAGAGTTAGAGAGGGAAAGAGACAAAGAAAGAGACATCCAGCTGCTGATTCACTCCCTAGATGTCCTCAATGGCCAGGGCTGGGCTAGGCCAAAGCCAGGAACTTATTCCAAGTCTCCTGTTTGGGCAGCAAGGGTCCAAGTTCTTGGGCCATCTTCCACTGCTTTTCCAGGCCCTTAGCGGGGATCTGGATTGGTAGTGGAGCAGCTAGGACACAAACCAGCTCCCACACAAAATGCAGGTGTTGCAGGCAGCAGATTTACCAGCTGTGCTGTAACACCGGCCCCAAGGGCCATTCTCAAAGAATGGTTGTTAAATCTGATTCCAGCATTAAATGCAACTTGTTTGTAAGAGGTCAGCATAACTTGTGTTCTGCTAGCTGGTTTAGGAGCTAACCTGTAAGGATCTTTTGATTCTACTGTTCTTGTTTTCAGTCGTGTCAGCCTTATTTCCATCCTCATTTCCAGTAATTGCTTTAAAATATTATTTAATCCCTAATGTAAGTAACATGCTTTAATAAACTTATTGGTGGCACCAGCACTGTGGCGTAGCAGGTAAAGTTGCGTCTGCAGTGCCTACATCCCATATGGGCGCTGGTTCAAGTCCTGGCTGCTCCACTTCCAATCCAGCTCTCTTCTGTGCCCTGGGAAGGCAGTAGAAGATGGCCCAAATCCTTGGGTGCAGCCTGGGGCCCCTGCACCCGTGTGGGAGACCCAGAAGAAACTCCAGACTCCTGGCTTCAGATTGGCTCAGCTTCGGCTGTTGTGGCCATCTGGAGAGTGAACCAGTGGATGGAAGACCCTCTCTTCCCTTCTCTCCTTCTCTCTCTGTGTAACTCTGACTTTCAAGTAAATAAATAAATCTTTAAAAAATACATAAAATAAGCTTATTGGTAATATGCAGAATAGTACCCATAATTCTCTCCAAAAGGAGTTTCTAATGTAAGTAGGAGGGGGTGTGTGTGGTTATCATTTTAAGGTGATTGTTGAAGGAAGGCTTCTCCCGTGTTTCCACCTGTGTACTTTCACATGCTGAGATAAGTGAGTACAGTGCATACCCTGAAGAATTTAGGGCAGTGCCCAAAGTGGAAGCAGAAACTTCAAAAAACTCTTTGAAATGTCCTGTTTCATCTTAAAAACATGCATATTTTTATTTATCCATCTTTATATCAGATTTAAAATGTTCTTCTCTGTTCCTAACCCTAGTTTTCTGAAAATTACTTGCTAAATTTTGGCTTACAACTATTACATTTGAAATTGGCATCCCCTTCACTGGAGAATATCCAAAGGTAGACTCCAGATTCTTCTCCAGTAATTTTGCCCTCATTGAAAACTTACGCCTACTTTGAATTTCAGTGAAGGCCAGTTGTATTTTATGATACAAAATTTGTTGAGAAAGAGCAAGTAGAACAGTAGTCACCCCTTATCCCTGGTTTCATTTTCCACAGTTTCAGCTACCCAGCTAGTCAGCTGTGGTCCAAAGGTACTAAATGAAAATTTCAGAAATAAACAAGTAATAAATTTTAAATGACATGTCATTCTGAGTAGTGGAATGAAATCTTGTGCTGTCTCAGTCTTTCCCACTTGAGATGTAAATAATCCCTTTTTTCTTTTTTAAAATGTATTTGTTCATTTTTAATGTGAATGTAACATAGTGATCTTCCATCTGCTGGTTCATTCCCTGAAGGCCCACAACATCCGGGGTTGGCCAGGCCAACCCTGTTGCCTGATGAAGTTATGTTCCAGGGGAGTGTGTCATAGAGATAAAAGCTCATGATCTTCTGCTCAGCCTCGACTCATGGGACAGAAGCTCAACATCTAGTGTAGTTACCACTGTGAATGCTGGGACGGCAGTCTCCCTAAGTGGAGTATTTTTAAGAGAAACAAGCCAAGAGGATCTGGGATTGCTGCCCCTCTTCCCACAAATGGCTGTGCCACAAAGAAATTTGTGGGCACCGTTGCCCTGACCACCATCACCAAAGCTGCACCTCTAAGATTTTGCCTAGATGGGGCCAAGGAAGGAAGCACACCATAGAATAGAGATCTCTGAATTTCTCCCTTCATTTGTAATGGAATGTGGAAAAGTTCAAGCCTAAGAGTGCTCTCAAAAACAGTGGGAATGATGGTGAGAGGCAATAGGTGGGTTGGTAGATTCTTTGGAGATACAGGTTAATCTGTTAGGCCAGTTCAGTTGTATGATAGACTCAGTAAATGGGACAGCTGGAAAGGATCCTTGAATCAGAATAAATCCAAAACACTGACTGCAGAAATTCCTGTCAAAAGAACTTGAATTTGATTGGATTAGTCTGTAGAGCAGTTAGCCAGAAATTATTTCATGGACCTTAACCTGGGTATGGGTAGGGAAAGGGGACAGTGAGAGAGCCCTGCCAAAGTAATTGTCTTCAAGGAGACTAAACATACACTTGAAGAGCAACATCAGAAGCTTCATAGAGAGGATGTTTGATTTTTGCAGTGAAATGCAAGACAGAGAAACAGAAATAAGAGCCATACACTGAAGACAACAAACAGGCAACAGAAACTGTCAGTGAAAACAATCAGATATTGGGCTTAATAGATAAACTTCAAAGTAGCCATTATAAATAAATTCAAAGAACTAGAAGAAAGCATGATAAATGAAGTAAATGAAGGGAAGAGGATGGTGTCATTTCAAATAGAGAGTATCAACAAAGAGACAGAAATTATCAGGGCAGGCATTTGACCTAACAGTAATGACACTCATATCCCATATCGGAGTGCCTTCCTCAGGCTTCTAACTCCAGCTTTCTGCTAATGCAGACCCTGGTAGCAGCAGTGATGGCACAAGTAATTAGCTTTGTACCATTCCCCTGGGAGACTTGTATTGAGTTCCTGGCTGCTGGCTTAGCCTCAGATATCACTCGCATTTTTGGAGATGAATTAACAGATGGGAGCAAGCAAATAGAGACAGAGATCATTTTAAACAAGGATCAAATTGAAATCCTGAGCTGAACCAAAAAATTCAGTTGAGGGGCTCCTAGTGGTTTGAAACTGGCAGAAGAAAGATTTAGTAAACATCAAGGAAAATCAGTATAAATAATATAATCCAAACAGTGGGAAAAAATTAAGAGAATGAACAGAGTTATTGAGAGATGTGTGCCACCATTAAGTACACTATCCTTCGTGTTGTAGGTGGACCAGGAGAACAAGAAACAGGAGCAGAAAAATTATTTGAAACTATAATGACTAAAAATTTCTCCAAAAGACAACTATACTTTTAGGAAAGTTCAGCTAACTCTAAGTAAAGTCAATGCTGAGCTTTCATTAACAGATATCTGATAGTAAAAATGCTCAAAGTTAAGACAGGAATACGTTTTGAAAACAGAAAGAAAAAATAAAAGTAATCTTACTTACAAGGGATCCCAATAAGATTAACAGCTACTTCCTAGTGGAAACAAGGGATGCCCTAGACTGAGATAATATTTAGCGTGATCCAGAAAAGGCAAAACTTGTCAACCAAGAGTCCTATATTTAGCAAAGCTTGTAACTAAACTATTTAAGAATTCCTGGGGCCTGCGCTGTGGCAGAGCAGGTAAAGCAGCTGCCTGTTGCACTGGCATCCCATATGGGTGCTGGCTCATGTCCTGGCAACTATACTTCCTATCTAGTTCCTTGCTAATGTGCCTGGGAAAGCAGTAGGAGGGGCACCCATTTGGGAGACCCGGAAGCTCCTGGCTCATGGCTTCAGTTGTGCCCAGCTCCAGCCACTGGGGCCATTTGGGAAGTGAACCAGCAAATGGAAGACCTCTCTGTCTGTAACTCTGCCACTCAAATAAAAATAAATAAATCTTTAAAAAAAGAAAAGAAATATTTTAAAAAGAAAAGAAGTCTTAAACTCAAAAGACAAATAACTGAAATAAAAATTGGACAGTAGATCTGAACAGATGTTTCTCCAAAGAAGATAAACTAATGGCCAATAAACATGTGAAAGGATTCTAGACACCTTTGGTTATCAGGGAAACACATATCAAAACTACAGGATACAACTTTATTCCACTGGATGAGGCCATAAAATAGGCTGTCTATAATGAAAAAATCACATAAAGAAAAGGATTAGGAAAGATGTAGAGAAATCAGAACTTTAATTACTGCTATTGGGGATGATAAATAGTGTGATCACTTTGGAAAACAATCTGGTAATTCCTCAACTTGTTAAAATAAGAATTACCATATTTTTTATATATATATATTACATATATAAATATAAAACACAGAAACTTACACATTAATGTTGATAATACTAGTGCTCATTATAGCCAAAATGTAGAATGTCCATCAAATCAATGATGGATTAAAATTTTTCCATATATTTATAAAATGGAATATTATTTTGTGATAACAAAAAATGAAGTTGTACTGTTACATGCTATGCATAGATGAACCTTAAAATATTATGCTAAGTAAAAGAAGCCAGTCTCAGAAAAGCCTGTTAATGTGATTCCATTTATATGGATTTCCAGAACAGGCAAATCCATAGCAATAGAAAATAGTGGGTTGCCAGAGACTATGGGTGGTAGAAGATAAGGAATGGCTAATAAAAAAATAGATAGATGGGTTTTGGGGGAATAGGTGGTAAAAATATCCTGAAATTAGAGTGATGATGACCTTACAACTCTTTTTATACTAATAACCACTGAATTACTCACTTTAAAATATTAGTTTTATGATATATGAATTATATCTAAGTAAAACTGTTATTTAAAAAAAAAGTTTGGTGTTACTACTTTATGAAGGCTATTTATGTTCTATTACTTTTTCCACAGAAGAACTTTTGTTTGTCTTTCAAGAAGGCATCTTTTAAGAAGAGCCAATTATACTGGCTCTAGGATTATATCTGAGAAGTAAAAAATATTTGTCCAGTAAAGACAGGTGTGCTACATGTTCCTTATCCACTAGCCTCATACCATGAAAAACATTATATACTACTTAATATTTGCGTTTATCATATGTTTTGTTTTTCTACTATAATAGATTGCATTTCCTGAAAATTTTAATTTGTAAAGGCATTCTTTTGTCAATTGAAACAGTGTTTGCAGCATTAGATTGGCATACTGTTTCTAAGAAAAAGATAGACCTTCACATATTTTTTTTGACTTTTAAGATAAAAAATAGACTTTGAACCTTCAGGTGTATTAGAATAAAACAAAAGCTCATAATTATTTCATTTTGAAAAAAGAACAAAACAGCATGAACATACTTCAAGAAGAGAACATATTTTCCTAAATCAAGAGTGTTAAAAATGAGAATCCAGATGGTCAATTCAGACACAGTGTGTAATGTTATAATTTTTCCTCCTAGTTAAAAGGCTGGCCACAGAGAACCTGCAATGCATAGTAAAAGCCTGCCAAGTGGGGTCAGAAGGAGAACCTGCTGCCCAGCTGACTTCTGTGTTTAGGTAACTGGAAAATATGCCAACTGGCAAGGAGACTATTGCCAACCATTTGACAGCCAACATGTTTTTTAAGTAACTAATTATCCAAAACATAATGTGTTACTACTTGTTTATAGCATTTCAATAATTGTATATTTGGTAGTAGTTTTGTTACATTGTGTTACTTTATTGAAGAATAAAAGTGCCAGGGAAGAAGCTAAATTAGCTGACTTAAAATTACTTCTGAATTTAGTAAAGAAGAATCTCGCATGTATTTGAGAGGAGAAAGTGGGAAATGTGAGTCATGATGACAGGTGTACAAACCTTCAGAGCTTGCTTAGCATGTTACCCAGGGTCCAGTGTGCAAGTAATATCCCTGATTTCCTGACTGACTTTGGCTACAAACCTTCAGGAAGTTTCATTATGTTTAATTTGTGAAGTATGAACTTTTTTAGGAATAGACTAGTTGTGCATAAGAATAACAATGCAACTTGGGGAGTGCTTTTCTTTTTCTTTTCTCTCCCCTCCCTCTGTTGCCTTGCCCCCTTCAGAGTCTGTGCTTTCTGTTAGGACATTTTTTTCTCAGGGTTTCTACGGTTTACCTTTATGATTAGTATCTCTGCCTTACCATTGCCATAATAAATTATTCGAGTCCAGTTCCTTCATCATGTGCTGGATTTTGATTGCTCAGTTTTTTCTCATCACATAATTGCCATTTGCCAAGTGTTTAGTTTATTTAGATTGTGATCACTTGATGGTAATGAATTTGTGAAAATTGTAAAACCTTAGTAAGGCAAAAAAGGATTGTTTGTTATCTACAATCTATTAAGTTTTTATTTTTTTGATTGAGAAGTGGAAATTTTAGGATTAAAATGTATTTTATTTCTAAAGGCTTTCTATGGATCTTTAGTTAAAGAACATAAACATATGTTATGAAGAACTGTTTCATTAAAATATTATATTTATCTGAAGAGGTGAAGGACTAAGAAGTAGAAAATTTGACTCCCCCTCCTCCCCTTAGTGTCTTCCACATTTTTTCACCTGAAACTTCAATGTGGGAAACATAGAAATAAAACATCCCTGGGACTAGCTATTTTTCCTCCATATTCTCCCTCTGAGTATTCCAACTCTTCCCTCTTCTCCAGCCCTCACCCCCAAAGCCATCACTCTGGTCTTGGTTCACACTGAAATAGGCATTTCTAGTCTCTGTTTTAAAGTGTTGTGTCCAGCTTCTTAAGGTACTCTTAGATGAAATCATCTTTCTGTGTTCAGGTTATAGCTGATAGCAATGTAGATAGCAGCCCAAAGAGTTGCCCCAGAAATAATCATAATCACCTGTTATACTTTCAGGCAGTTTATCCAGGATTATGGTATGAGATATGATTATCAAGTTTACAACATTTTAGAAAAAGTAGCAACACTGAACCAGCAGGTTGTCATCCACTTGATTTCTACCCTCACTCAATCTCTGAAGGATTCTGAGCGGAAATGGGGCCTCGGCAGAAATATTACACAAAGGTTTGTGTCTTTCTAAAATCTGTATTTCTTTCTATAGAAATGGCTTAAATGTTTCTGTATGTATTATCGGGTTTCTATTTTTTTTAACTTTTATTTAATAAATATAAATTTCCAAAGTACAACTTTTGGATTATAAAGCAGCACAGCTTTATGAACAGACTTGACAGAATGGATACATCCATTCACATGTTGTTCTTTCGAGCTGACCGCTTTAGAAAGCTGCATAATTCAGCAGTGTTCCTGTGGCTCAAAAGAAACTTGGTGGTCCTCCTCTAGGAGTTGACTTCAGAGCATCAGATGTCTTGTTTTTGTTTAATCTATGGTAGCAAATAATAACCACTTGAGGGATGCTTGATTTGTCAAGTCAACTTTATCATCCATATCCAGTGAATGAGTGACTCAAGTAGATAATATGGGTTTTGGTCAAAAATAGATAATAAGGTTCTTTTTCTTAAAGGTTTATAACGCAAATACTGCTGGATTATTTATAGAGTGGTACAACATTGTGGAAAGAAACCCATAGTTTCTTTTTTATTTTTTTAAGATTTAATTATTTATTTGAAGGCAGAGTTACAGAAAGGCAGACGCAGAGAGAGAAAAGTCTTCCATCTGCTGGTTCACTCCCCAGATGGCTGCAATGACCGAGCTGAGCCAATCCGAAGCCAGAAGACAGGAGCTTCTTCTGGGACCCCCACACGGGTGCGGGGCCACAGGACTTGGGCCATCTTCTACTGCTTTCCCAGGCTACAGCGGAGAGCTGGATCGGAAGTGGAGCAGGCAGCAGCTTTACCTGCTACTCCACAGTGTTGGCCCCCCATAGTTTCTTTAAAAAAAAACTGAGAGGAATCATTACTCATACTGAATTTATATGTCTAAAATTTGTTAAAGGATCAAAGTACTTCAGTCATCTTGTATGTGTGTGTATCTACTAAGTATTCCACTTTTAGTTGAAAATTTTTGACTGTACAATGTCATTTTTGAGATATTACTTAATAAAAACATGAATAAATTGATTATAGCATTAGCTAACTAAGGAAACCTATCTTTCCAAAACAGCAAATGAAAACCAAAAAGTGGGAAAACCAGAGAAACCTACCCTGTTACACCTTTTCCATACCAGGGTGGAACATTTCTTTTCTTCTCTTAATCAGTAATTTGGTTAGCCTCTTACTGTTTCTGGAGAGAGGATTAGAGCACGTCAAGTCATAGTTTTGAGGAAATGGTGTTTACTATTGTGTCACAAAACAAGCTCATCCAAACACCTCTCTACCATCTGGGCTCTCTAAGCAGTCTTCAAGTGTGAACTGAAAAACTGGAGAGCTTTATGTGAACCTCTCTAATACAGAGTATTTTGGGGGCAGATGTCCTGTTAACCTACCATGTGGTGTGGCCAGGCATGCCATGAGAGGGTTGGTTTTAGAGTCTGATTATCACAAGTGTTTAATGAAAGAACTGCCAGGTACAACAAATCATCTAAAACACATCCCAAATACAGGGAAGTAATAGAGAATCTAACTGGATAAAACATTTTATTTTCAAACTTTGTTACCTCTAAAAAATAAAGACAGTGGAGTATGTTCTAAAATTGTTACCATTATTCAGGCTTGTTTTATGGTTATAGAATTTGTATTTTAATACTTTCAAACCTTCCCATTGTAGTCATACCATCATTATCCCTAAGCAGTATTCCATAAAAATATTTCATTAACTTTGAACATTATATTATTTGATTTTTAATGAACTTTTACATGCCATTTTAACCCACATTTTATATGTAAAAGTTATACTAACAAACAGTAAGTAAATTCTAACATCTAAATTTAACTTCAATATATATATTTAAAGTATATTTTTAAAAATTTTATCTAGAGGGGCCGGCACTGTGGCGCAGTGGATTAAAGCCCTGGCCTTGAGCACCAGCATCCCATGCGGGTGCCGGTTCTAGTCCCAGCTGCTCCTCTTCCAATCCAGCTCTCTGCCATAGCCTAGGAAAGCAGTCGAAGATAGCCCAAGTCCTTGGGCCCCTGCACCTACATGGGAGACCTGGAAAAAGCTCCTGGCTCTAGATGGGTGCAGCTCCAGCCATTGTGACCATCTAGGGAGTGAATCAGCAAATGGAAGACTTCTCTGTCTCTCTCTGCCTCTCCATCTCTCTCAGTGTAACTCTGACTTTCAAGTAAATAAATAAATATTTTTAAAAAATTATCTAGAAAGATTGATATATATACACAGATAGACTTAACTTGTAAATATATAAATGGAAAAGTAATTAAATATACTTGTTTTCTTTTTTCCTAAACAGGGAAGCCTATAGCAAACTCTTGTCTTACCTGGGACAGATGGGACAAGATGAGATGCAGAGACTGGAAAATGATAATACCTAATATATTTTGTGGTTTGTCCTCTCTATTGATTATCAGTATCTAAAGCCACTTTGCACCACTCTAACTCCTATTTTTAATTAATTGTATAATGTTCTGTTAAAAATAATGTCTGAGATTTTTTTTCCTTACATACCTGTAAATATAAAGTGTACAAATAAGAAAATAAAGGATAATTAGTAAGTATGTAATAGGATCCTTTGAATCTTGCAATGCTGCTTCTGTTTTGAAGAGATTTTAAACTAAAGGAACTTTGTAATTGGGAGTGTTTTCTATGTGATTATTAAACAGATTTGTACAGGTTCATCCCTGGACTTTTTACTGTAATGTAACTTCCTGATTTGTGACTGACCATATTTTGTTTTGTTTTGTTTTACAAGTTATGTTTTAATCTGATACTTTTTCAAATTACCTGGCTATCCTAATCTGGTTTGTTTTTTAAACTTATACCAACAGTCTCTATGATTAGGTTCCAAGAGTTGTCAGATTTTTTTCTCTAGTCATCCTTCCTTTCAGAGTTGTTAAAAGACATATCCAGAAGAAGAAATACAGGTCTTTTAAGAAAAGAGAATAAATAACAATATTCTTGGAAATTCTCAAGATTACTAATAACAGACCTGAGGAGTGAGCTGTTCCATCTCCTTGCTTTTCCATCAGAATTTCTTAACAACTGAGCATCTTATAACCTTTACAGGAACTGGTTTAGCTTTCTTCAGTAGATACTGTTTCTCGGCTGTTTAACTCGGTCTCATCCAAGTTGTTTAGTTAATGGACTGGGCCCTGTCCTGGAGTCCTTTTTGTGGTGACCATTATTTGGCAGAAAGAGCTCTAGGCCTAGTGTTGGAATTCACCTGAGTCTCAAACCCAGCCCTGCTTTGTGACCATGAACAAGTTACATAACTATTCTAAACCCAATTTCTCTGGAAGAAAGGCGAGCAATGTTATGATGAGAATCACAAGGATAATTAGGTGAAATATTTGGTGGCCCATATTCTGTTTAGAGGTATATAGACATGATGATCATTCATCCGCAATATACAGAATACCTCTCAGTTTTGTTCTTCTTTGCCTACTGCTGTGTCCTACTAGTCGACTTATCCCACTGTTTTTTCAGTGCTCCTTTGGGTGTCATGTTTACTAATTTTAAAACAATTTCTTAGCTTCTTGGAATTAGAACCTTCATCATGGTTCTTCAAAAAAGTTTTCAATCCTTTTGTGCCTCAAGAAGTTATCTTTAAAGATGAAATACATTGTAATCAGCATTCTGTATTTACTAGCTCTCTCATAATTGTAATTTATGAAATACAAAAGATTGTTATTTTTTATGACTTACAAATAGTCTATCTCCCCCACCCTGCCCAAATCAACTACCTTTACTCATTCTTTCAACAAATGGGATAAAAGCTTCCTTAAAGTTGCTTTATAGACTTCATAGCAATGAGTTTCTATTCATTATGATAGTGATTTAAAGCCAATAATATATTGCTTTGCACATTTCAGCAGTTAAAGGAATGGTATGTCTTTAAGATGATTCCTTTAAAGAGGATGTGTGTGTGTGTGTGTGTGTGTGTGAGAGAGAGAGAGAGAGACAGAAAAAGAATGTGTGTCTGTACTATTTTCCAGGGGAGATGGACAAGGATATCTTGGAGAATCTTACCTAGAGTATGAAAATTTCACGGGACATGAAAACCTGCTACTGAATCATACTAAAAATCACTGGCGCTTATACCTAAGAATCAGCAACAACAAAAAGTCTGTAACTGTATATTTATGTTTGTATTTATATACATGTAAAATTGTAAAGAAACTTTCTTAATAAAGGACAGAAATGTATGGTTCAATTCCTTTTCTTGAAAATCTTCAGTGGCACATCACTTATTACTTCAGTCTGGTGGTCTTCTTCCTCCCCAGACTTGAGTACCTTATACCTGCTTCTTTAATGTCTATTTTCCCTTAAATACCTTCTCATTGCTGAGACAGTTTTATTACACCATTGCCGTTAAAGCCATTTTCTCCTGGTCAGATCTGCAAGCATGTTCTCATTTGTTGAGCCTCTCGCCCAACTTCTCATCCAATACTTCCTCTTCCTATATACGCTGTATCTTGAGAGTCTTCTTTCCTCTTCCCAAATAGGACTTTTCATCTGCTATGTTTCAACATTTTTTTCCCAGTGGTGAGCAGATAATACTAGCTCAAATCTATTTCTGGGGCCAGCGCTGTGGTGCAGCAGGTTAAAACCCTGGCCTGAAGTGGCAGCATCCCATATGGGCGCCAGTTCTAGTCCCGGCTGCTCCACTTCCGATCTAGCTCTCTGCTATGGCTTTGGATAGCAGAAGATGGCCCAAGTCCTTGGGCCCCTGCACCCACATGGGAGACCTGGAAGAAGCTCCTGACTCCTGGCTTTGGATTGGCGCAGCTCCAGCCTTTGAGGCCATCTGGGGAGTGAACCAGTGGATGGAAGATCTCTCTCTCTGTGTCTCTACCCCTCTCTTTCAAATAAATAAAATCTTTAAAAAAAGAAAATCTATTTCTAAAGCTAATTGCGCTCTGAGCCTGTCCTATTGGAACCTCCCAAAATCTCAAGGAAGAAGTCAAACCACACATGACACCTATTCCAAGCACCTACTTTCATTTTCCCACATCACCTTTAACTTTAGGAACCAAATTCTTCATTCTTCCCCACATTCAGGTGATCGCCCGTACAGGCTCTTAGGCTTTTTGTTTGTTTGTTTCTTGGTTTGTTTTTCATTTTGCCTGCCCTCACATCCAAGCTGTTTTTTTCTGTTGGTTATTGCAAATGTATTTCCTAATGTCTGGTCTCCTTTTCTATAGTTTACCTTACAGTTCTGAAATAGGTGTGGTAAAATGCACTTTATTCTTGTTACTTCTCTGTTGTTAGCTCCAGTAACTTCCCATAGTTTGTAAGTTGATATTTATTTAAACCCTTTCAATACATACCTCCTGCTGTGTGTCTATACCTTTTTTCAGTCTCACATCTTTACAAACAAGAGACTTTCTTAGCAGCTTTCTCTGAAAGCCCTGTTCATTCTCCACTCTGCCTCATTCATTTTGCCAATCTGGAATACCACCCTCTATGGATATTTGAGACACCTAAATAGAAAATTAAAATGTACACTGTAAGTACATGCTACATATTCCTTTCAAATAATATCTATAAAACATCAAATAAAGTATAAAAATGATTGAAGAGCAACAAAGTGATGGAAGGACTTTATTAGACATTCAGATTTGGTTATAAGTTTCAATTTAACATTTAATTTGAAAGTGTCCATACTGTAGGGAAAAAAAGGATTGTCTCTGCAAAAATCATTCAGTACTGAATTCATTTGCATTAGGAAAATTTCATACTTTAAAACTCATATCTTTCCCTATCCCGTGTATGTTTTCTTCTGTTAGACATATTAGACTTCATCTGTCTCAGTATCTATTTAAGAAAATGATTGTGAACCTTAGACTATTTGTTGGTTTTCATTACTCATCATCATCTGCCATGCTGAGTCACACATTTTAAAAGATACTTGATCTTAAACAATTGCATGGGCCCATTTCTATCCTTGTCCTTTCACAAGACATGTTATATAAAACTTGGAGAAGCTATGCAGCTGGGGAGAGTCTTTAGGAAATCCGCTTTCCCTAAGTCCTGCATTATCAGCATTCATATTTCAAAGATAAAATATATAGAATCCTCACCAAAAGTTTTATAAACCATTGCTTTTTTCCAAAAATTGATTTCATGCTTACCCATCTCAGGGTTAAAAATATTGCCTTGTCAGGCAAGAGTATATTATGCCAATATAAATAACGTGCTTTATTTGATTAAAACAGTTGGTTTGGGAGGCTAGCAACATAGCATATTCTTTCATATATTTAATGGGACATGAAGTTTGTACTCTGACTCTTGTGCTAATCTAAGTAGTAAGGTAGCCAAAGTCAATACCAGTGACTGGAATTTCTACTTTCATGTTGTGCTGATAGTTATCCAATTTATTGTATTTGTGATCTGTGCTTTTAGAAAAAATCTGGGGGCCAGCGCTGTGGTGTAGCGGGTAAAGCTGCCGCCTGCAATGCTGGCATCCTATCTGGGTGCTGGTTCGAGTCCCTGGCTGCTCCACTTCCGATCTAGCTCTCTGCTACGGTCTGGGAAAGCAGAAGAAGATGGCCCAAGTCCTTGGGCCCCTGCACCCAAGTGAGAGACCTGGTTTCTGGCTTCGAATTGGTGCAGCTCTGGCAGTTGCAGCCTTCTGGGGAATGAACCAGCGGATTCTCTCTTCTGCCTCCCCTCTCTGTAACTCTTTCAAATTAATTAATAAATCTTTTTAAAAAAATCGAATATTCTCACTTTATATGCATGTTTGTAAGTTATTTGTACATATACTAAAGATTAAAGATGTATATGTAACAAGAATGTATAAATTCAGCTTACATTGTGCCCATGATTACTAAGCTTCCCTTTTATAACAGATTTACTACTTGAAAAACAAAAATAAGGCATGTTACCGGGAGGAATAATTTCTATCTTATTCCTGTTGCCTTTATATTTGCAGTAAAACAGTTCCATTTTAGGTTTTCTGCTATTGCAGTTGCTGAAGGGTAATAGTTAAGGTATGAGGAAAATGTGAAGAAAATGTGAAAATTATCCTAGTCTTAACCTAACTGGCATTTTGTTATTAACTATAAAAATAAACATTTTTAAATATTTTATTACATTTGAAACACTAAGATACTGACAGAGTTCTCCCATCTATTAGGGCACTCCCCAAATGCCCAAACAGCTGGGCTGGGGAGGCTGAAGTCAGGAGCCAGGAACTAAATCCAGGACACCCGTGTGGGTAACAGGGACCTAACTATTTCAACCATCACCTGCCTCCCATACAAATTTTTTTTGTTTTTGTTTTTTTTTTGTTTGTTTTTGACAGACAGAGTGGACAGTGAGTGAGAGAGAGAGAGAGAAAGGTCTTCCTTTGCCATTGGTTCACCCTCCAATGGCCACCACGGCCGGCGCACTGCGGCCTGCGCACCGCGCTGATCCGAACACAGGAGCCAGGTGCTTCCTCCTGGTCTCCCATGGGGTGCAGGACCCAAGCACTTGGGCCATCCTCCACTGCACTCCCAGGCCACAGCAGAGAGCTGGCCTGGAAGAGGGGCAACTAGGACAGAATCCAGCGCCCTGACTGGGACTAGAACCTGGTGTGCCAGCGCTGCAAGGCGGAGGATTAGCCTAGTGAGCCGTGGCGCCGGCCTGCCTCCCATACAAATTTAAATATGGCCTTTACTTTGGAAGAATGAGAATGGATGATAAATCATTGTAGAACAGGGCAGGCTACCTACTTCCTGTACCACAGCACATGCGTTGCGTCCCAGCTATTCCCCTTCTGATCCAACCTCCTGTTAATGTGCATCCTGGGAGGCAGCAGTTGATGGCTCCAGTACTTGGATCCCTGCCAACCACAGGAGAGATCTGGACTGCCAGATCTAGGGCTCCTGGCTTTGGCCTGGCCCTGCCCTGGCTGTTGCAGGCATTTGGGGAGTCAGTAAATGAACGATCACTGTTTGTCCCTCTGCCTTTCAAGTGAAATGAAAGTAAGTAAATGTTTAAATTTACTACAGGTTCAGAGCCAGCACTGCGGCACAGCTGGTTAAGCCACTGTCTGCAGCACCATCAGGCAATATGGGTGCCGGTTCTGGTCCTGGCTGCTCCACTTCTAATGAAGCTCCCTGCTAATATGCCTGGGAAAGCAGCAGCAGATGGCTCATCCCCGCACCCACATGAGAGACCTGGATGAAGCTCCTGGCTCCTGGCTTTGGCCTGGCCCAGCCCTGGCCATTGCATCCATTTGGGGAGTGAACCAGCAGATGGAAGATCTCTGTCCCTCCCTCTCCCTAATTTTTTCAAATAAATAATCTTTTTAAACAGATTTATGACAGGATTATTCACTTAAATAGAAAATGTATATCTGAGTAGTTTCAACAGAAGTTGGCTTATGTGACCAAACATAATTTAATAGGATTTTTGTTTCTTACAATTTTGAAGAAAAGGATCTAATTGTAAGTGATCTGGGTTTTTTCTTTTCTCTGAAAAGATGCACTTTTGATGCTACTCTTTGGCTGTAGTATACAGAATGTGTCTGAGTTCTATCCAGAGCTTTTTAAAATCCTGAATTCAATTCTGTGATATTAGTAATACATGATAAAGATCACCAAAGAGGGGTTTTATAATACATTCTGATTTACGTGATTAGTTAGAAATTAACACAGAAATAATCAAGTGTAGTCTAAGGCTGCCTTTCCATTATCAAGTGAGGCAACCTTATTTTAGACTGTTTCCCTTTCATTAATTTAATGCAGTATCTCAGAATACAAATAGATTTTAGTGGTGTTAGAAGGTAAAACTGCTGGAAGAGATAATTCATGTGCCAAGCAGAAATTTTAGTAAACAAAATACTATTTGCTTTGCTCTTGTTGAAAAGATACTTGGAGGCCGGTGCTGTGGCATACCTAGTGGGTAAAGCTGCCGCCTACAGTGCTGGTATCCTAAATGGGCGCCAGTTTGAGTCCTGGCTGCTCCACTTCCAATCCAACTCTGCTATGGCCTGGGAAAGCAGTAGAAGATGGCCCAAGTTCTTGGGCCCCTGCACCCACATGGGAGGCCTGGAAGAAGCTCCTGGCTCCTGGCTTCGGATCATTGCAGCTCCGGCCTTTGAGGCCTTCTGAGGAGTGAACCAGTATATGGAAGACTTCTCTCTCTGCCTCTCCTTCTCTCTCTGCGTAACTCTTTCAAATAAATAAATCTTAAAAAAGAAAAAAAAAAAGGATACCGGAAATTCTGGAGTGGAATCCCAGAATCCCTTCACTTTTTTATGATGTATGTTCTCTTATTCATGTGTCTTTTTATTTATTTATTTTTTTTTTTTTTGACAGGCAGAGTGGACAGTGAGAGAGACAGACAGAGAGAAAGGTCTCCTTTGCTGTTGGTTCACCCCCTAATGGCCGCTGCGGCTGGTGCACTGCGCTGATCTGAAGCCAGGAGCCAGGTGCTTCCTCCTGGTCTCCCATGGGGTGCAGGGCCCAAGCACTTGGGCCATCCTTCACTGCACTCCCGGGCCACAGAAGAGAGCTGGACAGGAAGAGAAGTGACCGGGACAGAATCTGGTGCCCCAACCGGACTAGAACCTGGGGTGCCGGCACAGCAGGCGGAGGATTAGGCTAGTGCGCAGCGGTGCCGGCCCTTTTTTTTTTTTTTTTTTTAAGATTTATTTATTTGAAAGGCAGAGTTACAGACAGGCAGAGGCAGAGGCAAGGAGAGAAGTCTTCCATCTACTAGTTCACTTCCCAGATGGCCACAAGGGCCGGAGCTGCACCGATCCAAAGCCAGGAACCAGGAGCTTCTTCTGGGTCTATCATGTGGGTACAAGCACTTGGGCCATCTTCTATTGCTTTCCTAGGCCACAGCAAAGAGCACGATTGGAAGAGCAGCTGGGACTAGAACCAGTGCCCATATGGGATGCCGGCACTGCAGGCAGAGGCTTTACCTGCTAAGCTACAGCGCTGGCTCCTCTCCTAACTTTTAAAATTTAGTTTACATGGCTTATGCCTTTCTAAATATAACCTCTAAATATAAATTGTCGGCATCAGTTTTCACTGTTCAGGACTGTCCATAAACAATTTTTGTTTGCCTAAAATAAATTCATGTTCTTGATACAGTGGAAAACATCTGCTGGTTCACCCTCCAAATGCCTGCAGCAGCTGAGGCTGGGCCAGTCAAGCCAGGAGCCTGTAGTGTCAAGGACCCAAGTACTTGAACCATCATCTGTTTCCTTCCAACATGTGAATTAGCAGGGAGCTAGATCAGAACTGGAGTCAATGGACCTCAAACGAAACACTCCAGTATGGAATGCAGGCATCATAAGTGGCAACTTCATTGCTGCACCACATGGCTACCCGTTTTTTTAAATCACCTTTTTCCCTAATCCTCAGTCTCCCCTGTGTCCTTTAATCTGAATGACCTGAATCATATATATTTTAAAAATAATGCTTTAGGCTTCCTACAATGATGTATATATAAAGCTTGTGAATTATTTATGGTAAAGATTTTTTTCATCCTTTTTTTTTTTTTACTAAAAATGGCTACATGTATGAAATAAGTTTCCTGTAAGAGGAGGATTGCTGAATGATTAAACTGCCAAAGTAAAGCCTTAATAAAGATGATCTTAAGTCCTGACATGATTATGAAAACAGAAAACTCAAGACTTGTTGAATTCATGTTCAAATATGATTATTAACTTGTTTATTTTTTTGTTCTAGACAAAGCAAACCCAAAAACCTAGCCTAAAAAAGAAATCTTATGCATTATTAAAAGTGTTGGTAATAAAATATGTATTGGTCGTGGTGAAGAATCCCACAAGCACTCAAGATTGACATAACCTTTAACAAAGAGGAAAAACTTTTATTAGACCTGCCAATTCTAGGTTCAAACTTATGTCAAAGCACTTTAGGGTACCTTAATTAGTACAACTAAGGTTTTTATGCTGTAAAAGGTCATTTTTTTTTCATTAAATGATTTTAAATGAGACATTTAAGAGAGTTATTATTTGAGGAAAGGATTTGTGCAAGGTTAGATATCTTTGGTGTTGGTAAACTCCCTTTTTACTAATTAGTCTGTCTCTTTCAGCAGTTTTTTTCAGAATCATTTATCCCATAGCTTGCTGTCCAAGTTCTACCTGGTAATCTTTAAACTTCAAAAATAATCTGCTGGTTCATTTACAAAGTTGTTAAGACAGTAAAATACCTTGTGATTTGAGTAACCTTTTCTCTTAGGTGAAGAACTTAAAAGTCGTTATCTAATTTTCATGTGAATTAATATGGAAATCAATAATTTCTCTCCTTAAAAGGTGGGAAAGCTGAAGTACTGTAAAGTTAAGGTTCTGACCTGACCTTAGGTCAGAGTAACCCAAGTGTAAAATCTGGGTATTCCAACTGCTATTACATTGTATTTCTATTTTTCATATCACCTTGAATAAAATATGGCACTTAAAAATTTATGGTGTAATAATGTTGAGTCTCAACTGAGCAGGCTGCATAATGTTGAATTTTAAAAGACAAATTACAAGTCCACATTTAAATAGTGAACTACAAAAGTTTTCTTTTAAAGATCATGGATGCCATTGTGTAAAATAAATTGCCTAATAGCGTCATGTCCTGGACAGCACTGATTAGAAAAAGTCACAAAGAATGCTTTAAAGACCCATGAAACAACAATGGATTGTTAAGTTGGCACTAAGCTACATGACAATAAAAGTCATACATATTGTATGTTGACATGATGAGAAGGGTGACAAGAGTTCTCAATAACATATTTTAGAAAACTGTTCATTTTTTGCTAATATTTATCTGAACAGAAGACCTATGAAACAAGACAAGGAAGCATTGAGCACTGAGTCTTTCCATGCCCAGTATCTGAACGACAAGCCTTTGTTTTCCTCATGTTTTGTTCATGATGGTTATGAACTGAGCACTGGCTTTTCAGATGGTGCCAATTCTGTGATGAGGCACTTGAAGAGTCTGAAGGTTAGGGCATGTGAAATACGGAGCAGGAAGGAAGCAGGCTGCTATTCCATTGGAAGCAAAAGGGAGTGTAGGCCCATAGAATACTTCTTCTTTGCCTTCTCTACTCACGTCCAATACCTACAAGAGAAGACAAGCAACTTGTATGTCAAAGATAACTGTTCAAAATAAAGCTGCAGACACATTAAAGGAAGCCTGAATTTAAATTCACTGATGCCACCATCACCATACCTTAGGCTTTATTTCTTTTGCTAGTATGGTATGAGAAATACTAAGTTCCTATTAAGTGCTATATATGTATACACATGGGACTGTACAAAACATACATTTATAGTTCAGAACAATGATGAGAGTAGGCAGCATTATCCTCACCTAATAAAACCAACTTAGCCTGGTTAAACAATGTGCCCAAACTAGCTGATGTTAGTGTCATAATGTTGGCTCACAAGTGTAACTGTAAAATGAAAACAGGAACTTATAGCTTTGTTGTGAAAATCGGTGACATCTAGCTCCATGTCTGGCACATATAAAACATCTTAGTAACAGGTTCCAAATTAGTTGACTCTAGAAATTTTTCCCCAGCTTATCTCCCCTTCAAGTTGGAGTCCCGTCTCCTCTTGCATGACGCAGCTTCATGGTTAGTCTGTGCCTGCTGTCAGCTAACTGAACCTGGTGCAGTTACTACTAGAAAATCTTCATGAAAACTCCTCTCATCCCATTCGGCAGACTCATCAGGCTCTTTCCAGTCCTCAATCATCTTAATCTCTCTTATTCAACTTTCCTCCAGCCTTATCTAAAACCTTTCCTTTCTTGGAGTCCATGATTTCACAGTAAATAAACTATCACAGACATTGCTCTACTTCTATCTACCTTTGTCCCATTTCCTCTAGCTGCATTCTAGAAGTAGGTGTGCCCACATTTTCCAAACACAGGCCCCTTGGTATCCTCTAATTTTTCCACTCTCCTGCCTTTATCTAGCAAATATGGTTAATGCTTAAGCTTTTAAATTATAAATAAAAAGAACCGGGGCCTGTGCTGTGGCACAGCAGGTGAGGGCGCTGTCTGCAATGCCGGCATCCCATGTGGGAGCTGGTTCAAGTCCTGGCTGCTCCACTTCCAGTCCAGCTCTCTGCTTTGGCCTGGGAAAGCAGAAGATGGCCCAAGTCCTCGGGCCCCTGTTCCCATGTGGGCGACCCTGAAGAAGCTCCTGGTTCTTGGCTTCAGATTGGCGCAGCTCTGGCCGTTGCAGCCAATTGGGGAGTGAATCAGCGGATGGAAGACCGACCTCTCTCTCTGCCTCTCCTTCTCTCTTTGTGTAACTCTTTCAAATAAATAAATAAATCTTTAAAAAAATGAAAAGAACCCTTGAAATTTGAGGATCCAAGCTCATAAATGAGAAAATCATTAAGCTCTAAAATTATAAAAGAGCTTCTTGCAATTTTTTTCCAAAAGGACATTTGGTGTCATAACCATTTATTGAACAATATACCCTTTCACTGCTAATTCAAAATATCTCATACACACTAAATACAAATATTTTCTCTGTTCTCTTTCATTAATTTATGTATGCATTTGCAGTGTCTCTTTTACAGTTATTTTGACTAGGCAAGGCAAATCTCGTTCATCTTCAAACACTTCTTAGTTGTTTTTTATGCATCTAATGTTTGTAAAGGAGTTTCAAGAACAGTTTGACAAGTGTCATTCCAGCCCATGAAAAAGAGAGAAATCTGAATGGGATTTTGAATAGTATTTCATCAGTAATTTTGATATCATTTAAAATTTATCATGAATACATAAGGTTACGTACTACAACTGACAAGAGCTAAGATACAGGAAAAATGAAATGACTTGCTCTGTGAAACGTAGCTAATAAGTGGCAGAGCCAGCATTGGAGCTTAAGGATGCAACCCAGAAAGAGCAAGGAATTCGTGCCATCATGATATCCATCCTTTCAGCCGAATACATTTTTAGGAAGCAAAATACCAGTGAGGTAATCATCCAAAGAGCTTTTGTCTGGTTCCCTGGGCCAACAGAGACTGCATATGTTAAGCAGATGTAATGTATTTAATCTGAGAAGGGAAAAGGAAGCATTGGCAGTTTTTCTCCAAAACACTCCCCTGTAAACTGGCAGAAAGAAGACATTTGGGAGAAGGTGGTGCCAGCTTGGCAGCATATCCTCCAGCCAAAAGGAAATAATAGTAAATGAAGAGAACAGTAGAGGTGATCTGGAAACACAGACTAATCACTTGCACACTTATGCAGCTGCTCCCTTATGTGCTACTTGTCATCCACGGCACACTAGATTAGAGTCAAACTTCCAAGCCAGACATTTGCTTACACATCAACTACATAAAAAAAAAAAAAAAGGACCCTCACTTTTGTCAGAAATCTATTTATACTATTTTTCTATGAGTCTATTACTAACAAGTGCAAATGTCAATATCTAAACAAGTATTAGTTCAAGAGCATCTTAGCTTTTCTCTTGTTTGGGTTTTCCTTGTGATAGATCAAATAGTCTGCTAAATCAGAACAGGAGAAGGAAATAAAATACTGTGCTTTCAGCACACCAAATGTGCTCCATCTCAGTGTGGCTGAATCCTACAAATGACAAATGAGCCTGGATTTGGGTTTGAATGAGACAGATCATTGGCTGGTATTTTTGAAGCTGTTTCATCATATTTTTTAAGAAGATTCATCTCAGTCCTTCTAGATGTTGATGGAAAAATCTGAACTATTTCAGTGTGACTTCATTAATCAACCATGCTTTTGGATTAATAATCTTCATATTAATCTTGAGTTAAGGATTACATAGATTTCATCTCATTATATAAATAAACTTTGATATTTTTAGCATGTATACAATTTTCTCTACCACTCTCCTGTACTTTTTTGTTTTTGTTTTTGTTTTTTTGAAAGATTTAGGGCTGGCATTGAAGCACAGTGAATAAAGCTGCTGCCTGGGCCGCTGGCATCCCATATGGGCACCATTTCCATTCCCAGTAGCCTCACTTCTGACTCAGCTCCCTGCTAAAGCATCTGGGAAAGCAGCAGAAAATGGCCCAAATTCTTGGGCCCTGCACCCTGTGGGAGACCCAGAAGATATTCCTGTCTCCTGGTTTTGGATTGGGCCCAGCTCCAGCTGTTGCAGCCATTTGGAGCGTAAAACAGCAGTTGGGAGATCTCCTTGTCTCTCCCTCTCTCTCTCTGTAACTCTACCTTTCAAATAAATAAACCCTCTGTGCTTTAAAATAGCCAGTTGTTTCCCTACATCTCTTGAGGATGGATTTCCTTGTTAGGGAACAGCCAAACATTAACAATTAGTTAGTGCATATGCTATGTGGTCATTCTAAAGAAAAATTCTTTGGGGACAAAAAAAAATGATGTGACTGTAACGTTTTCTAGTTTGGGTGTTTTTAAAATGAGTATGTCTAAGCTAACATCTATGACTATTCTAAAACAGGAGATGTGAACAAGTGATCTCTGGCAGCACTCTGGTCTCCTATACATGATGTGATAGAGAGTCCTCTTTATTTTTTAATGATGTTAGGACTTCAACTTGTTTTCTGTTCTTTGAGCTAACTTGATATTAAAATGAGTGGAGGGGCTGGTGCTGTGGCACAGCGGGTTAAAGCCCTGGCCTGAAGCACCGGCATCCCATATGGGCACTGGTTCTGGTCCCGGCTGCTCCTCTTCCAATCCAGCTCTCTGCTGTGGCCTGGGAAAGCAGTGGAGGATGGCCCAAGTCCTTGGACCCCTGCACCTGCGTGGGAGACCTGGAGGAAGCTCCTGGCTCCTGGCTTCAGATCGGTGCAGCTCCGGCCGTTGCAGCCATATGGGGAGTGAACCAGCAGAGGGAAGGCCTCTCTATGTAACTCTGTCTTTCAAATAAATAAAATAAATCTTAAAAAAAATGAGTGGAAATATACTCATGAATACATTTAACATGTGCAGTTTCACTTGTGCCCATTTTTGGCAGGACTCGGTCACTTATTGGCAACTTTACTTACTCCCTTGTGCAAGCAGTCAAGTGAAGTGATCCAAAGCCGCTTGAAAAACTGTCCCCACACTCCACAACACTACTATCCAATATTTTACTAATCCTGAAGAAACCCAAAGACAATGAAAATGACAAACACATGCTTGGATAAAGACTGGAAGCAGTGCTCTGTGCGAGAAAACAATTTGCTCACTTCTTGTGATCCAAAAGAGAAGACAGCTCTAGTCCATGGCAGCTTCCAGTTAACTCCCTTAAAAACCATACATGCCACGGCTAGTGTTGTTGCACAGTGGATTAAAGCTCCAGCCAGCAGCACTAGCATCCCATATGGGTGCCAGTTCCAGCTCCCTGCTCATGTGCCTGGGAAAGCAGCAGAGGATGGCCCAAGTCCTCTGCACCCATGTGGGAGATCCAGAAGAAGCTCCTGGCCCCTGGATTCAGATCAGCTCAGTTCCGGCCATTGCAGCCATTTAGGGAGTGAACAAAGAGATGGAGGATACTCTACCTGTCTCTACCTGTCTCTCCATCTCTTTCAAATAAGAATTTTTTAAAAAAATCGTTTTAAGGGCTGGCACCATGGCTCACTTGGTTAATCCTCCTCCTGCAGCGCTGGCATCCCATATGGGCAATGGGTTCTATTCCCAGTTGCTCCTCTTCCAGTCCAGCTCTCTGCTGTGGCCCAGGAGGGCAGTGGAGGATGGCCTAAGTGCTTGGGCCCCTGCACCAGCATGGGAGACCAGGAAGAAGCACCTGGCTCCTGGCTTCAGATCGACGCAGCACCGGCCATAGTGGCCATTTGGGGAGTGAACCAACGCAAGGAAGACCGTTCTCTCTGTCTCTCTCTCTCACTGTCTATGACTCTACCTGTCAAATAAATAAAAAAAAAAAAAAAAACTTTAAAAAAAAAAGCTTGCAAGCTTTTCCTTTTGTGTGTTTGATAATTTTTTCTAGTGTATTATTGATTCCTACTTCATTAATTTTCCCGTATTTTTATAGTCTTCCTTCTACTTTGATTTATTTATAAGTTATGTAGGAATGTATTTTATCTACAGGTAGATGAGGGTACTTCAAAATGCTCATGGAAAATTAAAAATTTTAATGCAAAATAAGTGTATTTTCACGC